TTCTCAGACTGATCAGGGGTGGGGAGTGGGGTGGGGGTGGAAACAAAGGCCAGTTCGCTTATCACTTTCATGATTTTCCTTTGCTCCTGGAAGGGGAGAGCTGTGGCCTGTATTCAACATACTGGCTGGTGGTCTTCAATCTAGTCCTTTCTATCCAGTGTAGGTCAGATGGAGTTTTTCACCTACTTAAATTTTAAAATTCTAAGATTAAGGTGGAATGAAAATTGTGGAACTTAAAGTCTTTATGTTTGAAAATAGTATCTGTTCTTGCGAAACTGACTTGGTATTAAAAACAAAAACAAACTTAAGGAACGCCCAAACTGTCAGCCATTATCGATTTGAAATATTTCTTTGTCTTAAAGAATGTTGTTGGAAGAAAAGAAAACAATGTTCATTTTCTTATGAACGTGGCCCATACTGCATCCAGTTTTTCTCCGGCAATTTCTCTGTCTTTTGTTGAGAACGTGGCCATGTATTTGTCCCAGCTCCGTTCACCTACAAGAAGCCGTCTCTTTGTGTCCAGAGATTGTAAAAGGGTCAGGCTAAACACAGTTAGAATCCCAAGGCCCCCTTGTTGGTGTCGGCCGCCCATGTTCAATCAGGTCTCGCTGTTGCAAAGAGAACTGAGATGCTGAACAAGGTCTTAACTCGGGATCAGTTCTGTTTGGCATTGTTATTTTTTAAAGCCGTTTAGAGCAGACATTTATTGGCGCTAGTAAAGTCAGCTGTTGCTGTGGTTTCCTCCGCTCTCAGGCTCTGAAACCAGACAGAAAATTCCGCCTTGCCACACAATCCAAGGACCGAGACGGTTACATGTTGCTGGGGACGCCACTGTTCGGAGACAGGCCTGGATACACAGATGCCAACCTGTAAACAAAGGCAGGTCTGCTCTGAGCCTGGGAAGGAAAGAGTATCAGAGACCAGGGTTCTTTCTTTCCAGGGGCATAGGCTTCTGTTCCCCTCTTGTGAAAATCCTTAAGACTCAGCCCATCCTTGATGCCCAGTTAGCCCTGGGATCTGAATATGTCCCACCAAGGGGCACACAATGAAAGGCTAGGGATAAACCAACTTCAGGATAAACCAACTTAAGTGACTGCAGTAATAATTTGGTTTCCAGGTGGCTCAGTGATAAAGAATCTGCCTGCCAATGCAGGGGATGATGGAGATGTGAGTTTGATCCCTGGGTCAGGAAGATCCCCTAGAGGAGGAAACGCAACCCACTCCGGTATTCTTGCCGGGAAAATCGCATGGACAGAGGAGCCTGGCAGGCTACAGTCCATGGGGTGGAAAAGGAGTCGGACACAACTAAGCACTCACACACAATAATAATTTACCACCGGCGAGAAGGGAAGGGGTGGGTGGTACAATAACTGCACAACTTGTGCCCCAGCAGTCAGGAAACTCAGTCCCACAAAAGCCCGGCCTTTGTCCCAGGAAGTCGCCGGACCCCGCAGACCAGGAAGATAAGGCCTTTGTGCTGCTGCGAACAGGTCGTAAAAGTACCTGTCGCCTTTGTGTGGACCGGGGCGGATCCACCAGAGCCCCATGCCCTTAGCGAAGATGGACCGGCTGAGTTTGGAAAAGTTCGTGCGCTTTCCCGTTCGCAGCTGCGCCCCTTCCTCCAAGTGGAGGCAGGTCGGGGACACCCGCTGTCCCCAGTCTGGCCGCAGGCTCTGCGATCAGCTCTAATAGCTATTAACTCAGTCTAGCCGCTCAAAGTCCCGGCGGCCCGGGCCGTCTGCTGGCCCGCTGCGTGTCCGGTGCTCGCGCCCCCTCCAGGCGCCGGGGGCCGCCGTCTGTCCCGAGGAGCGGGACTGGGTAGGGGGCGCCCGCCGCACAAGGAACTGCTTCCCTTGCCGGCGCGCTAGACCCACCGGCTGGGAAGGGTCGGTTCCCTCCAAGGGGGGTCCGAGGACTGAGTCCGCAGCTCTCGGAGCTGGGACGGGGTGGGGCTGCGCAGTTGGGTGGGAGGGGGAAGGAAGGGGGCGTCTCAGAAGATCTGGCAGTCCTGGAAGGCGGGCAGGAGGCGAAGGGCGTTGGGGATGAGACTGGAGTAGACTCCCAGTTCGGAGGCGGGAGGGGGATGTCTGCAGGTCCCAGGCCCTTGGAGAGGTTCGGGGGAGGAAGGGGAGGGAGTCCGGCGATCCCAGAAGGCGGGTGGGGTCCCGGGAGACCTGGTGGCCCTCCGAGAGAGGGCGATTAGGGATCCTGGAAGAGTGGGTGGCCCTCAGAAGGGGTCGGAGAGGGACGCAGAGCCGGAGGCGTAGGCGGGGCAGTGAGCCGCGTCAGCCCCCGAAGCCCGGCGGGAGCAGAACTTCAGCATCTCCGGACGCAGGTCAGAGCGCGCCGCCGGCCTCTCACGCTACGGGCCCTCGCGGGGCGCAGGCCTAGCCGGGGAGGATGCTGCGGGCGGGTCCACATTGCCCTCTAACGGGGACCCACGGGAAGCTCCCGGCAGTCGGCCGGCGCCAGCCTGCGCGCAGGGACACAGCGGCCGCAGGGCGCATTAAGGCTGCACTTTCTGGATGCGCTGGTTCACCGCTGGGATGACAGTGCGATTATGTCTGTGTATTAATAAGCTGTGACTCCCTGCGGTGGGATGGGTCAGGGGCTCATCCCGGCTTTGCTGGAGCGTGAGATACAGTTTGGGTCTATTCTAAAATACAGTGGCTGGAGTCCGACTTAAAAAAAAAAAAATTATTTCAACCACTGTGTAATTTCTTTTAAACTTTATATTTTGTATTGGGGTGTAGCCAGTTAACAATGTTGTGATAGTTTCAGGTGAACAGTGAAGGGATTCAGCCATACATATACATGTATCCATTCTCCCCCAAACTCCCCTCCCAGCCAGGCTGCCACATAACAGTTGAGCAGAGTTCCATGTGCTATACAATAGGAACTTGCTGGTTATCCATTTTGAATTTAACAGTGTGTGCATGTCCATCCCAAGTTCCCTAACTATCCCTTCCCCCCATCCTTCACCTCTGAAAACAGTTAAGTTCATCCTCTAAGTCTGTGAGCACTGTGTAATTTTTTAGATAAAATAATACAAAATTGGGAGTTTAATATCAATTGATTTAACTACAGAAGGTAATATGGTACAGTTTCTGCGCTGTGCTATTGCTCAGTTGTGTCCAACTCTCTGTGGCCCCATGGACTGAAGTCCACCAGGCTCCACTGTCCGTGAGGTTTCCCAAGCAAGAATGCTGGGTTGGTGTGCCACTCCTACTCCACAGGATCTTCCCGACCCAGGGATTGAAGCCACATCTCCTGCGTCTCCTGCACTGGCAGACAGATTCTTTACCACTGCGCCACCTGGGAAGTCTGGTCTCCATTTTAAAACTCTCATACTTATTTTAGCGACATGCCAGGGGATAGTTGCCAGATGAAATTGCTAACAAGTACATATTGATAAGACATCTGTACGTGTGTGTACTTTTACTGGGTACAGTTCCACCATCCACATGTTCAGCAGGGAATTTGGGGATGCCATGTGGCTCTGTTGTCCCTTTGAGAGCACATTGGTGTCATTCTGGAATTAGTTGAAACTGGTAATCTGTGAGGGCATCCACAGCTGGACTTGGACTGGGGAGAGGGGAAAGGGGCCCCACAAGAGGGGGGAAACTCAGCCTTCCAGATGTTTCCCCGGGGTATGGGGGGAGGTGAGCAGGCAGTGCCCAGGTCAGTCCCTGGGGTGTCTGAACCATGTCCAGCTACTGTGGAGAAGCCTGGCCTGACACCCAACCACCAGGTCCTCCACCAGAAGGTGGTGCTGAAGAACCTTGGGTAGGAATGGCCTGGAGAAGCCTCTGTCCCCTGGTTCTCCCCAAGCAGATGGACTGGTCTCAGGTCCTTCCCTGGCCTCCTAGCCAGTCCTGTGACCAAGCCTTAGCGCTCCTGGAAGTGCCTTGGTTACTGTGATCTGAAGAGGAACCCAGACATCGCATGCTGGCATGGGAGGCAGTGGACTGGCCTAATAAAAATGCAGCCTGCTATCTGACATTTCCAGATTTAAGATGCAGGGTTCCTGGCGTCAGCCCTGTCCTCGTGAGAGTGGGTGCCCCACCCAGAGGAGCTGGTTCCCTGGACTCCAGGGAGGGCAGGAGCCCTAGGCAGGGGCTGGCAAAGACAAGGAAGGCCTCGGTCTCTCCCAGAACCTCCCAGGCTGTTGGAGCCTGGTCCCTGGGCCTCATCCCAGATGACCCTGGTCATGCTGCCCTCTTGAGTAGCTGGAGTTTTCCAGATCATGGCCACCACCCACCTTGTAGATGGTGCTTTTTCAGGGGACACCTTGGCAAGCTACAGGGCTGCTCAGAGTATTGACACTGGACATTCGTCCCTCAGAGCTTGCTCCAGGCTACAGGCTCTACCCCGAGCCCCACCTGACCCCTCTCTGTTTTCAGTGACCCCTGATCTCAGACACCCACAGCTGCTGGTACCGAGCTTGTGGCTGGCACGGGCTCCCCTCCACCTCCCCCTGTGGGAGACGTGCACACTCATCTGAGACTCACACCTGCCAACCTGGCACACGGAACCGCCGTCTGTCTCCATGGCCACTTTCATAAACATCCAAACCCACGCTCAGGGGTGAAGACCCCATCCTGGCCCCAGACAGCAGAAAGTGTCCTACATACATATTGACAAAAGGAACCCGGCTCCACTTCTGAGGAAAAGAACCGCTCTCTCTATCTGATATTTCCTGCTAGGAACCACCCTGCTCAGGAACTTCGGGGCTAATCCTCACGCATTTCCTTTTGCATCCCCTTTATCCAAAATCTGGATCAAACTAGCTAAAAATAGACTCTAGTCCTCCTGAGAGTATCCTGCCAAGTTCCGAAGGGGAACCTCTTAGCAGCAATTAGAAGGCAGGTCAAGGGCCCAGCGGGGCAGGCTCCCCAATGAGCAGTGTCAATGGCGTGCGGGCCGGGTGTGCACGATGTGGCTTTTAAAGCAGCCAGGCCGACAATGCTGACCCTTTCTCTCTGGTTTCTCCATCCTAGATTTATTATAAAGTCATTAAGGACATTGAGCCAGGAGAAGAGCTGCTGGTCCATGTGAAAGAAGGCGCCTACTCTCTGGGGGCGGTGCCTCCCAGCCTGGATGGTAAGCCCCCACCCACAGGAGCAGAGGCCTGGTGCTCCATCACTTGGACAGCGTGACAGGAGCCGGGGGTCCCCCAGCTGCTGCCCATGGTCCATCCCCCAGGCCCCAGATGGGCAGAACCAATTCCTTCCAACAACTTCTCAGCCTGAGCACTTTGCTTTCTCCTTCCTTGGGTTACAGGGGCCACAGGCTGAGTTCAGACAGGACTTGAGACAACACAACATGCTGCCTGACATCTCTGTAGTCGGAGAGTCCTAGGGGCTCTTTTTAAACTGTATAATTATCATTAACAGCAGCAGTATACTCTCTGCAAGACTTAAACAAACAGACCCATTTCACAGCTTGGAAACATTCGCCCCCTAGAGCTCTGTGCCAAAGGAGAGCCACAGTGTCAGTTAAGAAAGTGCAGTGATGCCATCCATGTGTTTGAAAGCAATGACCACCTGTAGTTAAAAGCAAAAATTCTCAGAGAACAGTTAAGGGAAGTTTATTTGGTGAGAGGGAATATTTAGGGTTTCTGCTGCTGCTACTGCTAAGTCACTTCAGTCGTGTCCGACTCTGTGCGACCCCATAGATGGCAGCCCACCAGGCTCCCCCGTCCCTGGGATTCTCCAGGCAAGAACACTGGAGTGGGTTGCCATTTCCTTCTCCAGCGCATGAAAGTGAAGTCGCTCAGTCGGGTCCGACTCTTAGCAACCTCATGGACTGCAGCCTACCAGGCTCCTCTGTCCATGGGATTTTCCAGGAGTGGGATTTTCCACTGGAGCGGGGTGCCATTGCCTTCTCCGTTAGGGCTTCTGAGGGCTCCTCTAAGCAAGCTCTTCCAACAGGACTACAGGAAGCATCCCTAGTGTTCTTTCCTCTTGGCTGGTCACATAGTATGTGTCCGGTAGACACACTTCTATTCCTTGTTCATCCATACCCAGGCACATCTCTGATGATGCTTGAGGAAAGCCCAGTCTCATACAGGCTCAGATTTCTGAAATCCAGATTTATATTCCTCCATCCACATTGTTAAGCAGTGTGCCCATTCACCTTGGGATCCTGGAACCATTTTTAAGTGGCAGAGGAAAAGTCAGTTGGAGGAAGCTGCTTGGCAACGAGGCTGGTCAGTTAACTCCCTACGTGCTGTGGCTGAATAGATGGCATCTCTTCTCTGCGTGAGGCCCCGCAAGTGAGCTGAAGGCAGCCTCTGCTTCTCACCGTCTCTGGTGCAAATGATTCCATTCCTGCTAGAGAAAGTGGGGAGGCTGGCTTTTCCCTTCCTGTCCTTCTTCCCCCACACTTCCCCCCCCCCCCACACACACACACACGTACTCCAAGGTTTAATGATTAATGCCACTAACTGCAAGTTTCTCTGAGGAGCCGCTCCCGTGTCACGGCCTGGGAGTACGGTTGACTGGGCCAGGGAGCTAGGCGTCGGAATTAGCAGGAAGCCCCCGGGAGCAGGGTGACCTTCTCGGTCCTCAAGCGTGGCCCACCTTTGTGGGGCAGCACTTTGCACCCGTGAGTTCTTCCAAAGGCTCTCTCAAGAGAAGGACAGTTCTATAAAATAGACTCGACCCACCCTCTCCTCTAGACTTTGGTTTTAATCAGCCCTTCGAGAAAAGGAAGTAGGTGGCTAAGCTCTGGGTATCAGGGGGATGGTCTCATTTTTCTTAAAATAATTGTTGAAAAGACCTGTGAATCTTAGATAGTGCACTCAGAAAGATAAATTCGGCCACGCTGGGCCATGGGGTTTTGTTTGTATGATGACCTGTCTTTCTTCCGAAAGGTTAGAGAAACCTTGATTCCTGTCCCTCTTCTAATGCCTGATCTTAAATAACTTGGGTCTGCATTTTCCTAATTTATCAGACATCTGTGGGCTTGCTTTCCACACATAATAGTCCAACGTCAAATATTTGACTTTTCATCCCCTTGGCTGTCAGGATCACTCCTTCACCTCCCAACAGCCACCCCTCCTCAGTTAACTCTGAATCGCACAGAAAGAAAATGTAAAAATGTTCCTCACTAAGATAATTATCATAAAAAATCTTTTATCCCAGCCCCAGTGAATGCAGGGCCCCTTATCACGGCAGGAACTTGGAGTGGGCTCTTGAGGGCTTTTGAGCCTCCAGTCTGTAGATTAGCATGTAGATGCCACATAATTGTGTCCCCCTGGGTTCCCTGAAGCCATTAGGCACTGATTTATTTTTCTGTTACATTCCTGCTTTGCCGCGAAAAGTTGCCGAGGGAACTTCAGACAGACGCAAGGCTCAGACTCGACACACAAGACATCGGGCCAGCATGGTCTCGGTTTAGTTGGGTTTGGGCGGAAGTCAGAGCTTTTGCCCCGGCCCACAGCCCCCCTCCCCGGGTTTAGATGAAGAGAGCTCCGTTCTGAGTCACAATGCTGCCTGCTCTTGTTGGGGGCAGGAGCTCTGGCAGGGTGACCTCCAGGTATCACGGAAGAAGGGAGGGCGGGGGTGGGGGGGGGGCGGTGGGTGGACCTGCTCTGCCAGTTCACTGCGGGGAGCGGCCCCAGCCCTGTGGACCCGGGACTGGCAGCCTGGCAGCGCTCTTCCAAAGCTGCAGCTTTGTAAAGAAATTCAATTCCAATTTTCCTACAAGTGACTCAGAGCAGAGGGAAGCCACTTTCAGGTTCATTAGTTCCAGGAACTTTTTATTTTGTTTTTACTCTTTTCAGTAGAGAGGGGAAAGATTTCTCTTTCAAGAGAACTTCTAGCTCTTGGGAGAAAATAAAGAAAATCATTTCCATTCAAATATGCCTTTCTTTTGAGAAAGGCTCAAAATTACTAACTTTTTCCCCTCTCCAAAAAAGGTCAAGAGGATGCAGCATATTTATATAAAGCATGAGATAGACAGATATAACATAATACAACATAACTATACAACACAATGTCGCATAATGCAATTGGAGTGTGACATACTCTAGTATTTCTTTTAATTGGAGTTGCTTGTGCTGGGAAAGTGAAAACCGTGCAGTCCAGGCTCGTCTTTCTTGCCCCATCCGGCTTGCCCCAGGTGTGTATTCGATGCCAACTTTACCTTTATGGAAGATGAGGGACACCTGTCCACACCATGGCATGAGTGGGCAAGGCTTGGATGTGTCCTGTTCCAGCCTCTGTCCTTCGACAGGAACAAACTTGGGTCCCTGGTGGGATGGGGACATGGAAGAGGGGCACCCTCCATCACTGGTTCCATCACCTCCAGGACACCCTCCATGCGTTTGAAGTGAGATGCAGGCTGAATTTTCATTATAAATCCAAATTCCAGATCCAAGCTGGAAAAATAAGTTGGTCAGTGCTATGAAAAGGTGGGGTTGGCCCTTCTTTTCTTTTCAAATTTCAACTTCAGTGACTGTTTTGGGTCCAGAAAAAGTGATGTTAGTGGTAAAGAACCTGCCCATCAATGCAAGAGACATAAGAGACACAAGTTCAATCCCTGGGTTGGGAAGATCTCCTGGAGGAGGGCATGGCAACTCACTCCAGTGTTCTTGCCTGGAGGATCTCCGTGGACAGAGGAGCCTGGCAGGCCACAGTCCACAGTCCATAAGGGTCACAAGGAGTCGGACACGACTGAAGTGACTTAGCACACTTTGCACGAAAGAGTAAGATGGGAACTGACATGTCTCACTTCCTCATAATGCTGGTGGGAGGGCCCCTCTCAGCCTCATTCCAGCCCAGGAAGTCAGAGCAAACCCACAACAGCGGTTCTGTGGGGCCTGGGCATCCGGTTGTGTTCTAAGACGGTACTCTTGGTTCCAGTGGGAAGGAACCCATGTTTCTAAGGACAGGGAAGCCCTGTGGGGGATTGTGTGGGGGCGGGACACTGACATCGCATCACCACGCACATGCCACATGGGGTGCCTTTCTTATACCCTCAGCGGGAAACTGGGACTCAGCCACCTGCCCCCAGGCACCCAGCAGAGAGAAGGGTGGGTACCAGCTCTGCCACTTCACCTCTGGATGCCCCGGGCGAGCCAGGTGGCCTCCTCTGGCCTCCGTGTACCAGTGATAAAACCTGCGGCTTGATGCGAGGCTTGGGGGAGGGAACATGATAACGTTCCCAGGCACCAAGCTGGCCACGTGGAGGCGCCCCACCGCAGGTGCTAAGCTCACGGTGGACACTTACCTGAAGCAGCATCCAGGCTCCCTTCTGCTTTATCTTTATTTGTTGTTGTTTTTTTTAATATTTATTTATTTATTTTTGGCTGTGCTGGGTCTTACTTGCAGCACACAGAATTTTTAGTTGTGGTATGTGGGATCTACTTCCCTGACCAGGAATCAAAGCTAGCCCCCCTGCACTCGGAGCACAGAGTCTTAGCCGCTGGACCGCCAGGGAAGCCCCCTCCCTCCTGTTTTAGAGGCAACATCTTACAGACCTGCCAGTGGCTATTTTGCAATGTGTGTCTTTCTTGCCCACCTGACCCCTCCTGGGATCATGTGTGGGGTGCCATTATGGCATCAAGGACCGGCCCAGGGCCTTGATGGGCTTCATCTTAAAATCTTCTCTGACTTAGATCTCCAGATGGCTACAATGCATCCCTTTCCTTCTGGCCAGCAGTGCTGCCCGGTGTCAGGGACACCAGGCTCCGACAGGCCTTGTGTTCGCGGGATGCTGGCTCAAGGGTCACCTGTGCGGCCGCCGTCCCGCCTCCTCCACCCCAGACTTCTGTGGTTGGTGAGGACCTGCTGGCCCTCTGGCCTCCTCCAGTCCATCCTATGGCTCGGCCTGTGTCTGGGGCAGGTCCAGGGGTCAGGGAAGAGCCTTCTAAGCTCCTAGCTAAGCTCAGGTCGCCGCACACAGATCAGGGCTGGGCATCATCCCCAGTCTCCGCAGACTCTAAGCAGGTGCTGCTTCCCTGTCTTGTTCTTGATTTCCCCCGAGCAAGACCATTCCTAACAGCAGCCTCACGTTGGAAAGTGGGCTGGGACACCAGGACTTGGTTACATCTGGTCAGCACCGGGCCTGGCTCCCCCAACACGGTCCCCCAGGCTCCCAGGGAAGGTGACAGCTGCCTCCCTGTGTGTCCCAGGATGTTGTCCAAGGCCCTGGGGCTTGACCAGGGGCATCTCAGGGCTGGAACCCACAGGAGTGTCTCCCCTGGGCATGGGAGCTTGGGCACCCACCTGTGGGGGTGCCGGGTGTGGCCACACCCCACCCTCAGGAGTCTGTGGGAGCAGTGCGTCCACCCTCAGGCCCAGGGAAGCTTCCAGTCGCCAGGAGGCCCCCCTGCCTGTAGTCCTCCCCCTTCTTCCCCCCAAACCCTGGCCACAGGCTTAGGTTGCCTAGCCACCCCACCCTCCTCAGCAATCTGGGACATTGATGGTGGCCCTTCTGCCACAAGGAGGGGGCAGGAGACAGTCCCCCACCTCCCTCCATGTCCCGGCCTCCCTGGCTTCTGCATCCCTTAGGGTCAGGCCCTTCCAGTTAGCATCCATCCCAAGGTCAACGCTCTGCCCAATGCGGGGCCCAGAGATCCTTGTTCTTGTGCACATGCACACTCTCACACCTTCACACATAAATACACACATGCCCACATAGATTCACACCAACATACTAAAACATGCACAAATACAATCACATAACTCATACACACATTCAAAGGCACACAAAAGTATGTATACAAGTGTGTATTCACCTACAAATGTGCATGCACTCACGAATACACATGCACACCCAACACACTAACTCATGCACACAAATGTGTATGCTTAACATGCATGCATGCGTGCACACATAACACATATGCATGCACAGAAACACACCCATTCACATGTGCCAAGTAAGCACACACATGAACACACAAACATGCACAAATGCAGGCGTACAAGTGTGAAGCTACGCAGACATGCAAATTTTCATACTAGCCACAGAGAGAAACACATGCACACATACACAGGAATACACATGACACCAGCACAAACATGAGCACAAATGCACAAAAATGCCTGCACACTCATGCAAAGGTGCCCCAAGAAGGAGGCAGACGTGCCGGAGTATTCACCTGTGTTCACACACAGCTGCATACCTGTGCGCAAGGAGCACACACATTCACACAACCACCGACAAGAACACCTTTTGATTCATTTGTGCGGGTTCTCTATCCAGACCTGGGGGACACAGGGTGGTCCTCAGCAGGGAAGAGGGGGCCCCTGCTCTGGGGAGAAGCTGGGTCCAGGCAGCCGCGGGCGAAGAATGGCTCTCGGAGGTCGTTCCGCGGGACTCACAGCTCTGAGCTGTCCGGCTTGGCAGGGTCCACAGGATGCTGCCTCATAAACTTCATAGCAGCCGCCTCCTTTTTATTTGTTTGACCTTGACAATCGTTTATGATACACACCAGAGCCCAGCCGTCTCTCCTCCTAATTCATACACAAAGCACTTAGCCTGTCTTCCTTCTCTGCTCCAGGCCGGCGCGGGGCCCAGCACTCCTCAGGGTTTCTTATGGTGGAGTCTAGAGTCCCGCTGGGTCCCCGGGGCAGCCTCTCTCGGCCCGGGACCTGAGCAGGAAGGATGCCAGAGCCTGCGGGGCAGGCCCACGGTCTCCCCGCACCCCCTGCAGCCCCCAGGCCTGGGTGGGCCTGGGGTGGGTCCTGGGCGCCTCCCCATGCCAGTCCTCTCTCCCCTGCAGAGGAGCCCACGTTCCGCTGCGACGCGTGTGACGAGCTCTTCCCATCCAAGCTGGACCTGCGGCGCCACAAGAAGTACGCGTGCAGCTCGGTGGGGGCCGCGCTCTACGAGGGCCTGGCCGACGAGCTCAAGCCTGAGGGCCTGGGTGGTGGCGGCGGTGACGGGCAGGCCCACGAGTGCAAGGACTGCGAGCGGATGTTCCCCACCAAGTACAGGTGTGGCCCCTCCCCTGCCCGCCCCACCCCCCAGGAGCATCACGGACAGCGGGGGCAGTTGACCCTGGGAGCACAGGGGGAGCCCTGAGAAGGGCAGAGGTCAGCCTTGGGCCCTCCAGCCTGCCCAGACTGAGAAACCCAAGGTGCTAAAGGGCATGGAGATATGTCTTGAGGGTAGGAACCCGGCCCACTCATCTGCCCTTGGGGACAATGCAGGCCCACTAGCTGGCAGTTGGAGGTCACAGCTCACACCCTGACCCTAAAGGCCAGGCCCCTGGTCAGAGTCCCCCCACCCACAGAGGATCCTCAAGTCACCCACTGGAGCCACTGCTGCAACCCCGCCATCATGTCACCAGGGCTGAGCTGTGGGGACAGACTTGAAGGAAGTCAGGAACACAGGCCAGGCCCCCAGAAATGCAAGGGTCAAGCCCCAGGACCATTTCCAGGGTGAGGTCCAGGGCCAGGCTGGGGGACGCTGCCCCAGGGGTTCTGGAGTGGCCTGACCCTCTGGACACACACAGACTCCTTCCCAGACAGTGCACGTGGGCAGAAAGGGGCCACCCAGGGGTCCCCTCACCCCCCACCCCAGGTACCAGCCTCTGTGTCCCATGGAAGCCCCCACCTGTCCCAGGAGACTTCATGGACGTAGGCACAGATGTCCAGCCAGCCATGTGATGGCCGGACGCAGCCTCCCAAGCCCCAAGGCAAGGCAGGAGTCAGGACCTGGGAGCTGGGGACCCAACAGCGGAGAAACAGGCCCCAAAGTCCCCGGGCTCCGGGGACGGACCAGTGAAGACATTCACAGCCTGTGCCCCTCCTCTGCCTCTGAGGATTTCCTCCAGGGCAGCCCCTGCAAAGTCATAGTGAAACCCCATCAGGTCACTAACTGGCTGTAGGATGGAGGGGAATTGAATGCCAATCCCGTCACAGCCCCCTGGGGACGGGAAACCCTCCACCCAGAACGGATGACTGAGAAAATAAGAGTTTGGGCAAATCCCGACCGAGGCCCTTGGCGGTAAGCACTGCTCAAGAGGACCCGTGTTTTCTTTACATAAACACATAAATCACAATTAACAACAGGGGAAAAGATACAGTCTGCCGGGTGCTGGAGAATCAGGCGTTTCTGATCTAAATGGATGGCTGGGCCCCGTAATTAACGGGCCGTGATGTATTGCTGCTTTGCTCATGAAGATTAACGGTCATACCTGGGACAGGAGGAGAAGTGGGGCGTCCCCCGAGGTGGGGGGGAGCTCCAGGAGGCCTGTTCATCAAAGTTCACCCCTCCCCGCAGCTGTGCCCGCCTCCCCATCACATCTTGCTTGGAGACCCCTTGCTCACTCCCCCCACCCCTGTGGTATATGCGTGGTGGGCAGCCTCTCAGTCTGGCTTGGCCGGGGGGCATACTCTGGGCACTCAGAGGGGTGGCTTTGGGTTTCCTGGGCTGTACCCCCACTCCAGGGCTCCTATGGGGCTCGTAGCAATGTTGGAAGTTTCTAGACCCATTTTTTGTTAGGCCCAAGGTTAGCATCAAGGGGAAGTTTGTTTTGAAATACAGAAGTGTGAACTGGGACCCTGCCTGGCTCTGGATGCCTGGGGGTTGTCTTGGGTGAGGGCCTGAACTCCATCCATGCCCTGGCTTCCCCCCACCATCCAACGTGGGAAGGCCATGTCTGCTGGTCCACCCAGTTGCCCTGTCCAGGCAGGAGGCAGACAGACTGGCTGCCAGGCCCCTCCCTGCTCTCTGAGCAGGAGGTGGCAGGGGCTCCAGGGGTGGGGATGAGGCCCTTCCCTCCAGGCCCCTGGTGATCCCGGTCCACTGTGTGCAGCTTGGAGCAGCACATGGTCGTCCACACGGAGGAGCGAGAGTACAAGTGTGACCAGTGTCCCAAGGCCTTCAACTGGAAGTCCAACCTCATCCGTCACCAGATGTCCCACGACAGCGGCAAGCGCTTCGAATGTGAAAACTGCGTGAAGGTAACCGGGCTTGCCCCGCTGGCCCCACCCGTGTTAAGACGCAGAGCACATGTGGGGACCACAGGCCCCCAAGTCATTTGAGAGGAAGACAGGAAGTGTGCGGGGTCACACAACGGGGAAGGAGGCGGGGCCAGATCCAGGTCTTCTTGGGTTCCCACCTACAGGACAGGTCAGACCTGTGGCTCAAAGGCCTGGAGCTTAAGAAAGCATCTGAGCTCCTGTCTGGAGCACCCTCAGGGCCACAGTTCTCTCGGGAATTATTATGGAAGAACCAGAGTCCAAGGAGGCCTGACAGTTCCCTAAGGCCACCCTGTGGGTCACTGCCCAGTAGAGACCCTTCCGGCCAGGCTCAGGGTGGTGGACAGAGCGCCCAGTGAGACCCCCATCCTGTGACCTGACCCAGAGTCCACAGGGAGCGACCGACAGGATGTGACATGCCAGTGTCTGTGTCCCCAGGTGTTCACGGACCCCAGCAACCTGCAGCGACACATCCGCTCCCAGCACGTGGGCGCCCGGGCCCACGCCTGCCCAGACTGCGGGAAGACCTTCGCCACCTCCTCGGGCCTCAAGCAGCACAAGCACATCCATAGCACCGTCAAACCTTTTATATGTGAGTGAGTGGTCGCTGCCCAGCCCCCGCCTGGCATGCCCAGGTTGGGGGGTGCTTGGGGGTCAGCCAAGGGGTGAAGTCCTCAGGCTTTTCCCTGCTTGTGGGACCCTGTCTGTCCAGAAAACACTTGTGGCAACTGCTGATCCCTCTGCCCAGGGATGGCTGCCTCCTGGTGCCACTTTATCATCACCCTGCTCCCTCGCACACTTTCATTCTGGAATCCATCTTTCTCTTGCTCCGGCCTCACTTTCCCTTCCTGCCCTCCTTGGGTCCTCCCTGTGGCTTACTTGTCCAGTGGTTGGAGGTGGGCAGTGGGTGGTAAAGATCCCTGTGGTCCTGCAGAGAAGCCAGCAACTTACCTTTCCCCTCCACGCCTCCCCTTCCCCACACACACAGGCTGCCCAGAGCTCTAGCAGGTGTGATAATATCAGTGCTTCCCACCCACCTGCAGCCTTTGGGGACCCCAGGCAGTATGGCCATGCTGACCTGGGTGGCCGGGGCCAGCCGTGAATAACTGGACCCCTGTCCACATGCTGTTGACCTGCCAGAGGAGGAGACAGAAGCTAAGCCATCAGGGTGGGGGAGGGCTGCAGGGTCAGGAGGCTCTCCAGGTACCCAAGTAGGTGTCATCTGGCCCATGTGCTGGGAGGTGGGATGGTCTATGGGTGACCCAAGTTCTGGCAGAGAGCTTGAGGAGGTGGGCAGGGGGTGGGGTGAGAGCGACGGGGTGCCTGCTGAGAAGGCTCATGACAGGGTGCTGTGGGCACAGAAGCCTTGAGTTTGTGGTGTGTTTGGGGAGGGAAGCAATAGGAGAGGAGTCAGAGATCACAGGATTAGGTCCTGGGAATCTAGTGGGCCAGTGCAAGAGCATGACCCTACTTCTCAGAGTTTAGGAGATATTGAAGGTTCTTCTGTCTAGCATTGCACCAAGTCATCTCACTTGAGATTGTGCTGAGTCACTGTTCACACCAACACAGAGCTGGCTCATCAGCCAGCTTAACTCACCGGCGTTGTCCTGACTCATGGGTCACACCACCATTCTGCTGAGTCAGCATTCATGTGAGCTTGACCTGATTCATCGTTCACACCAGCATTGCACTGGGAGTCATTCACATAAGATTGTCCTGACTCGTTGTTCACACCAGTATTCTGCTGAGTCAGATACACACGAGATTGTCCTAACTCATCCTTCACATCAGCTTCACACTGTCATTCACATAAGATTGCGCTGAGTCATTGTCCACATGAGGTTATACTAAGCCATCATTTCACACACATGAGTTCACAGCACCCTTACAAACCTGACGGAGCAGGGACCACACTGTGTCCAACCAAAGGGAAGTGACGGAGAAGGAAACAGTCTTGGCAGCATGGAGTGACCAGGCCTTCGAGGCCCTGCTACAGCTCCAGGGGCCTGGCTGCTGACCCCAGGCTGGGTGGCCTGGGACCTCTCGGGTCCCAGCACATCAGTGTTGGGGGTGGGAGGAGCTAAATTTGGGAGCTTAATCGGTGGCTTCACCAATGTGGGGGTCTCACAGGGCTGGACTGCTCCCCCAAAGAGGCCATACTTGTTGGCTGGTCAGGCCTTTGTTGAGTAGCTGGGGCTATGCTCCCCTCCTGCCCACTGCCCCAAGCCTAGGCTTCCAGCTATCTTGTTAGAGGTGACTGAGCCCCCATCCCACCTGGGTCACCCACTCCCTCAGCCAGGGAAAATACACTTCTTGAGAGTGAGTATGTGTATCTGTGTACGTGTGCACACACACACAAACCATGTGCATACTGTACAGGAAAAGAAATGCTGACCAGCACAAGCAGTGGCCAGGGTCCCTCTGCATCCCGCAGGGCATGGGTACACTCCCCCAGGTGCTGATCCCACATCCAGTTCATGGTAGATTGCCTGGGCCTTTCCCAGCCCCTGCAGGGAGCCAGCTCCCTTCGCCAGCTCTGTTGGCCATTGTAGGACCAGGACCCACCTCTCCAGGGACCTCAGTTTCGAGAGGCCTCTCTGTAGCCCCAGCATTTCATCAGGACCCCTTTGTTGTGTGACTGGGTGGATGGGAAGCAAGGGTCCCAGGCTCCCTTCGCCCAGGCATTGCCACTGGTCCCCGAGCCACCCCTGCCACACACACGGGGAGTTGCCCTGGGAGGGTGCCATTTCCAGGCTCAGGATGGCAGCAGCCACTGATGATGTGCCACAGAGCCCCACTGTGGGGGACAGAGGTCATCACAGAGCCTCTTAAAGGGCCGGGGACGTAGCAAGGTGTCACTCATCTGGCCAGGAGCCCTGAGCCAGGGAGTGGCCTCTCTTCCCACGAGGGGCCACAGGCTGCCTGAGGGTATTTATAGACCTTCCCGAGGAGCAGCGGCCCCTCTGCACCAGCCTCCTCCCAAAAAGGGCAGATTTGATTAAATGAGGCAGTGCTCTTCCCCCTCAGCTTTGAAAACGTCCCGCCAAGCCAGACAGCCAGGAAGGCAGAACCGTTAATATAAATAGATATTGTGATTAAAGAGCACGATCAGCTCGGGGCCAGCGCTCCCAGCGAGATTCGCATGACATCAGGCCGCAAGAGTGTGCGGAGAGCGAGAAACACGCTGAAATCATTGTTTCCACGGGGCTGCATTTAGGAAGCAAATCGTCCTGCAGAGAGAGACAGACAGTGTGTGTGTGTGTGTGTGTGTGTGTGTGTGTGTGTTCCTCCGTGGCTGGTTAGGAAAACAAGAAGAAAAAGAAAAACTGGTGGTTAGCTGACACTCAGCTCACCATTGGGAAAATGGCGAGACTGGGTTGCCAGGGCCTACGGGGCCTGCCGTTCGGCTCTGGCCGCCACCCTCTCCTGTTACGCACAGGGCTGGAGCGGCCTCTCCATCCCAATCTGGGGAGGTCTCACTTTTCTCAGATGTGGAACCAGCCCCCTCGGGGGCTCCCCTCCCATCTCCACCTTCTGGCCACCCCCAGACTCTGATCTCACAGCCAGGAGCTCTGCTCTCAGGCTCAGGGACTAGGAAGCCCCAGGGGCTGGTCACTCCTGAGGCCTCCTTGTCCTGGGAGCAGATCACAGTCCTGGGGGCAGAATGAGAGGAGGAAGCTGAGAGCATTTTAAACCTTAGGAAGTGGGCGGCCTAGCCCAGGGGGTGTTGTTTTACTGGCTTCTACTGGAACAGCGTGGCTGACGTGGCAGGGAGACCCAGTGGGGAGTCTAGGTGGGTGGTGCAGCTGCACACGTGATGGGGTGCCATGTCTTTGCCCGTCTCTGGGAGCAATTTTGAAGACCTCGGTCCCACCTGACAAACTTATGGGGTCAGGAGAACACAGAGCAGCAGGGCCCATTCTCCAGTGGAGAAGGCTGAAGTGGGTAGAGATCTACCGAGGCCACCCAGAGACCCCAGGGGAGGCAGAGGGGCATCCTTGCCAATCTATTTTGGTCATCAGAGGCCAATCCCAGGAAAGGGTGCATGTGCATAGATGCGTATATGTACACATGTGTGTGCAAGTACATGTGATGACACAGTTATGGTGCAACATGTGTTTGTGAACATACACACTGATGTGTGACACACTTGTGTACCTAGGCACACGTGTCCCTAGACCTGTGTGTGTACCTGAATGCATGCGTACACCTGAGGTTACATGCAGGTACTCATACCTACTGACGCATGTGTGCACACACTTGTGCACACACGCACTCACACACACACACATCCAGGCGCATGCCGCTCCAGGCACTCAGCCAGACCCCCGGTCCCCCAGCCCCCGGCAGTGCAGGGTCCCCATCGCCTCCCCTCACACCGCTGTCTTTGCCCTGCTGCCCCCAGGTGAGGTCTGCCACAAGTCGTACACGCAGTTCTCCAACCTGTGCCGCCACAAGCGCATGCACGCGGACTGTCGCACGCAGATCAAGTGCAAGGACTGCGGGCAGATGTTCAGCACTACCTCGTCCCTCAACAAGCACCGGCGCTTCTGCGAGGGCAAGAACCATTACCCGCCGGGAGGCATCTTCGCGCCCGGCCTGCCCCTGACCCCCAGCCCCTTGATGGACAAGGCCAAGCCGCCGCCCGGTCTCAACCACGCCGGCCTGGGCTTTGGCGAGTACTTCCCCTCCAGGCCGCATCCCGGGAGCCTGCCCTTCTCCGCGGCACCCCCCAGCTTCCCCACGCTCACGCCCGGCTTCCCGGGCATCTTCCCTCCATCCCTGTACCCCCGGCCGCCTCTGCTACCTCCCACGCCGCTGCTCAAGAGCCCCCTGAACCATACGCAGGACGCCAAGCTCCCCAGCCCCCTGGGGAACCCGGCACTGCCCCTCGTCTCCGCCGTCGGCAACAGTAGCCAGGGCGCCGCAGCGGCCGCGGGGCCCGAGGAGAAGCTGGAGGGCCACCTGGAGGAGGCATATGCCACCAAACTCAAGCCCCGGGGCAGCGACCTGTCAGATGGCAGCGACTTCGAGGACATCAACACCACGACCGGGACCGACCTGGACACCACCACGGGCACGGGCTCCGACCTAGACAGCGACGTGGACAGCGACCGTGACAAGACCAAGGACAAGGGCAAGGCGGCTGAGGGCAAGCCCGAGTTCGGGGGCAGTGCGGTGCCCCCAGGCGCCCCGAACAGTGTGGGCGAGGTTCCCGTCTTCTACTCCCAACACTTCTTCCCGCCGCCCCAGGAGCAGCTGCTGACAGCGTCGGGTGCGGCGGGAGACTCCATCAAGGCCATCGCGTCCATCGCTGAGAAGTACTTCGGGCCCGGCTTCATGGGCGTGCCGGAGAAGAAGCTGGGCGCACTGCCCTACCACTCCGTGTTCCCCTTCCAGTTCCTGCCCCACCTCCCTCCCTCCCTGTATCCCTTCACGGACCGCGCCCTCACCCACAACCTGCTGGTCAAGGCCGAGCCAAAGTCGCCCCGGGACGCCCTCAAGGCCGGCGGCCCCAGTGCCGAGTCCCCCTTTGACCTCACCACCAAACCCAAAGAGGCCAAGCCCGTTCTGCCAGTGCCCAAGGTGCCCCCAGCCCCGGCGTCCGGTGAGGAGCAGCCACTGGACCTGAGCATTGGCAGCCGCGTGCGGGCCAGCCAGAACGGAGGGGCGCGGGAGCCCCGGAAGAACCACGTGTACGGCGAGCGCAGGCTGGGGCCCAGCGAGGGGCTGCCCAAGGCGTGCCCTGCCCAGCTGCCCCAGCAGCCGCCCCTGCACTATGCCAAGCCATCGCCCTTCTTCATGGACCCCATCTACAGGTATTCACACGCCCTGCCCTCACGTACACTCCCCGGGAACCACCTCCCCTGCTCCCCCAAGCTTTGTCCCTCTGTCTCTGCAGCTTCAGGAGGTGCTTCGACTCTGGGCAGGGAGGGGTCTGTGCTGCTTTGAAGTCCAGGCCCAGCTCGGCCCTTTCCTAGGGTGGGCGCCTGGCAGGGTCTCCTGGGGACACTTGGCTCCGTTTCGCAGATGCCACTGGGAGACCCGCTGCCCTCCCTTGAGCTCCGCCCCCCGCCTGCCTCAGACTCCACCCCAGAGGCTCACCTGCTGGTGTCTCCAGCCTCCCTCTCTGGACCCACTCTGCCTCCCAGGACACTCCTGGCTGTTACTTCTGCCCTAGCGTCTCTGCTTCCCCGTGACTGCCCTGTGGCACCCCTCCCCGGAGCCACAGCTGGGGTTCCTGTTGGCCTAGGGGTGATCAGAGGAGGAGCCACTTGTCCCCAGAGAGAGGAGGAGGAGGGAGAAAGAGGAAAGCTCTGGAAGATTTGCAAAACATCAGTGTTCCATCCCTCTGATAGACCTTCTGGAGAGGGGCCAATGGATTTCCCCTCCCCAGTTTTTGAACAGGCTTTGACCAGGGGGTTTTTGACCCCCATTGCATGTGTCCCAGGGTGCTGGGCAGGCTGAGCCCTGAGGAGGGGGCTGTGCCCCTGGGTGGGCCTGGGAGGGGCCCGGAGGGGCAGACAGGCGTGGTGGTTCAACCACTATTACAGGCCCATGGCTCTGTGTGGGAGGGGCCCATGTGCACATAGGTGAGTGTGTCCACACGGGAATTCAGGAAACTGTGGCCATTTTGAGGGCTCGTGTGAGGCACAGGGGCCAGGCAGGGCCTGGGGATGGGCGTGCAGGTGATGTCACCTCTGCAAAGGTGCAGCGGGAGGAATGATGGCAGGGCTGCCAGCGACAGGGAGGAGGGAGGATGGACCAGCCTCCTGCTCTGCCCTCTGCACCCACTCAAGTCCCCACCCTCCACACTCACCCAGGGCCCTGGCTGGCCTGTGTCTGCAGTTGGTTCCATTTTCTGCCAGGTCTTGGCATTGTCATCACAGGAAACCTGAAAAATGGTCCCCTGGGTGTTTCTTTAAGAACACACCATTCACAGATAGTTTGAGAAAGTGACCAGAGGCCTGTTATGACTGACGGTGGCTCACAGGCTCTCTGGGGTAAACATGCCCATCAAAGGCCCACAGAGCACCTGCCAGTTTCAATTGAATCTGTAGGACTCATTGTGGGGGACAGGAGATAGCTGGAGTTTGAGGGAGGAGGCCCCCCCAGGGTAAGCAGTCCTCACGCAGAGGAAGGGGTGGGACTGGAGACCTAGGGAGCAAGGCTCCTGGTCAACCCCCCAAGTTGGAGCCAGCAGGCCTGCAAGAGGCTCTGGGTTAACTGTTTCCCTTCAGCCTCCTCGTCCACCCTTTCCCAGCTCCCCTGCCAGCCCCCAGCCCTCCTCTGCCCCTCCTCTCCCCACTGCAGGCATGTTTCGGGGCTTTGGGCCTTTTTCTGGAAGTTGGCGGGGCAGCCAGTCAGGCCTAGAAGCAGGAATTGGCCACAGGGCCCCCTGACCCTCCCCTCCTGCCCAAACTTCTCTGAGACCTGGCTTGTGCCAGGCTCTTGCCCTCTGGATTTAGGGTACAGCTGCTGATGGAGGGGCTGCCCGGTCCCCAACTTCATACACAGACACCAGCAAAATGCCTGAGAGTGCGTTAGCCCAAAATGCCTGAGTGTGGGTTAGCCCAAAATGCCTGAGATGTGGGGTAACCTCTCCCCACCGCCCCCTGAGCCCAGTCAAGATGAACACTCGTGGTGTCGAGAAGATTCCCTCCAAGTGAAGGTGTGGGTGACAGTCACTGCCTGTGTAAAGGTTGGCTGGGGGCTAGGGAACAGGGTCCTCCCAGCTCCTGGATGGTCCTGGGGTGACTCCAGCAAAACTCCCCAGTGTCCCCACAGGACCCCCAGGTGTGACCATGGACACATACCCATAACCTTCTTCCCCCAGGTTGGAGGAATCCCAACACTGCCAGGCTGATCCCCTCCCCAACCCTCCAGCCCTTCTCACCTCCACGTGCTGCTGGCTCTGTGACAGGGCCAGGGATACTGTGATGATGAAAGCCATGTACCTTGGCAGGGCGCATGTCTGCTGGGGGTCAGGGGTCAGCTGGCAGGGGCTTCTCGGAGCCAGCCTGGTGGGCTGCTGAGACACAGAGGGCGGGAGAAGGCAGAAGACGATCTTCAACACCCCCTCCCCCTCCATGAGACCCCTTCCTCTCAGCCCACACCACCCACCCCGGGGTCTTATTGAAAGACCGACTCAGCCCAGCTTTGATCGGGGCTTCTGCTAAGGCCCTGAGGTCCCCTAGGGACAGAGCTGAGCTTAAGAGAGGTGGGAGTGTGGCCCTCGACAGACGAGGCGGCAGTTCCCGCAGCTGTGCCTGCCTTCAGGGAGGCGGTAGGACTCCCCAAGTCACCTTGTATAAATCTTGACTCCCATGGGGGACACTGAGGCAGGCATTGTTGGGAAATGGTGAGAGGAGGAGGTCAGGGGAGGAGGGACAGCCACCTCCTCCGCTTGCTGTGACTGGCAGTTGTACTGGCATTTAGGGAACATTCTGGAATTGTTGTCACTAGCAGCCGTCTGGAGGTTTTAGGTAGACACTGCCTGGCTGCTGTGGGGAGGCAGGCCTGAGACCTGTGCACATGGGCCCCTCCCACACAGAGCCATGGGCCCTGAGACCTCCCCAGGACAGAAACCTGCTGGTCACTCACACAGCCCTGCCCAGTTGGACCCTGGTCGCTCACACACCCACCCAGTCGGACAGAGCACTTGTGCCAAGGGCTCGGCAGAACAGTGAAGTGGGGTGTAGGTGGCAGCCCCTGTGTGCCCCACATTCCTCTGTTGGGGAGCCCAGGGACCCCAGTGAGGCCGAGCCCTCACTGGGCAAATGGGTCAGTGGGCAGAGGCTGCCGCAAACAGGACCCTTAGGGAAGGTTCCTAGCTCCAGCATCAGGCGTTCATCACATGCATGGGTGCTGGCAGCTGGGTAGTTAGGGGGACACTGGGGAGACTTGAAGGGGTCCAGACCTGGGTGTGGTGTGGGGAGCGTGTGCTCAGACAGGCAAGTGCACAGCCGGGTCACAGACCGTCCTTACGGCATCAGGTGAGACATGGTCACAGGGCCTGTGGAAGTTGGGCGCTGAGGTGAGGCCCCCCACCTGGTGACCGATGGGGCACAGGTGGGTGCCAGGAGGGGCAGGGACCACAGCCCCTCCCCACCCAGTGCTGGGCTGCTCAGTGGGGTCCGTAACCCTCTGTGTTGCTGTCCAGCAGGGTGGAGAAGCGGAAGGTGACCGACCCGGTGGGAGCCCTTAAGGAAAAGTACCTGAGGCCATCCCCGTTGCTCTTCCACCCCCAGGTAAGGCCAGCGGGAGCCTGAGGTCCGTCCAGGCCCAGCCACAAGCCCCAGGCAGGTCTCTGCTTCCCATCCCTGCACACCCACCCATCCCTGTGAGGTTGGGGAAGATGAGACAGGGCCGGACAGGTGAGGCAGGAGGGTGGTCCTTGATGGGGGCGCCCTAAGAAGCAGCCAGGGACACTGGCCCACGGGTGCCCCCCTCGACCCACGGCTGGGAGGGGTAGTGAACGTCCCCCCTGCAGCGGTGGGCTGCAGCTCTGATGGAACATATCCAAACATTTGGACCATAGGGAGAATGAACAGGAGAGAACCGGGGAGGTGTGGACGCCAGCAGCCTCTCTGGTATGAGGGACATAGGGGCACTTAAGAGGAAAGACCAGCAGAGGAGGGGCAGTGCAGGGGGCAGAGGCAGGGAGCAGAACAGCAGCAGAGGCAATGGCATTGAGCCCAGGGGATCCCAGGGGGTCGTGGGCAGAGGGACTGCCCTCCCCCGGGGATGCAGAGGGTGGTGAGGCCACCTGTCAAGACTAGAATCAGGAGCCTGGGAAAAAGAACCCCCAGGTCTGGGCAGTGGCCACAGACTCCACCAAGCCTGCAGGTACTTCTGTGCCCCTGTTCCCACCGCTTGGAGCCCAGCCACCTCCCCAGACCCACAGGCATCCCCTGCCCCAGCCGGAGGACTCAGGACTGAGTTGTGGGCCAGCCTGGACCCAGACGCCAGAGCTGGGCATTGTTCTCTCCCTCTGCGTTTCCCGCCTGGGACAAACCCGTGGTTTGTGGAACCTGCACCCCGCCTGGGTTCACAGCTAAACTTACTGCCTCCCATTGTCTCTTGGGGGCCTCGGAGTTTGGTTAAGAACTTCCCCTCGTTTCCTCGGGCCCTGCTGAAAAAAGCAGGCAAGCCAGCCAGGCACATCCTGTGTTTGTGTTTGTGCAGGAGCTTGGCCGGGAATATCTGATCAGGCAAAGTGGGCCATGTGGGCCGGACCCTCCCAGGCCTGGGGAAGAGGGGCCTGGCAGGAGGCTGGCTGCCCATTGTCTCTGCTGCCCGCTCCCCCAACCGGCCACCCCTGCTGCCTGCCCCTGAGCCCAGAGTAGGGGGTAGGGGTGGGAGAGATCGCTAGTAAATCCCCTGATGAAATGGTCTGAGGTGAGACCATCCCTCGGACAGGGCAGCTTCCAGCCACTATGAAGTCTTGGGGTGGGGGAGGGAGTCACAATGCACAAAGACCCCAATAAACTCTGGTCAGCTGCCTCTCATTCTGAGGCCTGACATGCAGGTGTGCAGCCCCTAGGGGTGCAGGGAGAGGCAGTTCTGCCAGGCCACTGCTCTGCACCACCTGTGGGGTCCTGGAGAGTTTGGGGCACTGGAGAGTCTCAGAACCTCCCAAGGCTGCAGCTAAAACTGAGCCCCCCGGGCAGCTGGGCAGAGCAGTCTGTCATCTAGGATCCCATCAGATCCTATCATCTAGGCCATGGATGGGCCAGTGAGATGCTGGACAGCGTCTGAGGGGCCAGGCAGTGTCCATTTGTCCATCAGTGGAGACAGGAGGGCCATCCACAGCTGGAAGCAGCATACATCTGACGGGGGAGCATGCCCATCCCACAGGGATGGTGAGACCCAAGGCCTACAACTATGCAGAGTTGGCCAGGGTCTAGGTGGCAACCCAGGGTCAAGGGAGGCCTCAGCCATAGGATGGGCCCCATCTTCTATTTGTGACTCCCTCCCCCTTTCTGGTGTCTTACCGTAACCATTCAGTTGTTCCCCAGCCTAAACCCTGACGGACTCCAGACACAATGAAAACTCTTCCTTTCTCAGTTTCATCCCAGCCTCCCACAGGGCCTGGCTTGCAGCAGGCAGTCTCAGGCAGAGAGGAGAAGTGCTGCTAAGGCCTGTGCAGCCCCCTCCCTGCTTCTGTCCCCCAGCCCCAAGGGAGGCACAGGATTCTAGTCAGAACCCTGCCCACCAAGTGGAAATGAGCAATGCCAGGAGAAAGCAGCTCCCTTCTCCTCCCCAGGCAAGCCCTTGGCATCTCCAAGGAGCAGACAGGCAGCCCCTCCAGTCCATGTCACCACATCCTGTGCCACGTCAGTTGGCTTTGGCATTCCATGGGGGAGTCTATTACACTATTGAATTTCTTTTTAGCACTTTGCCTGCAGTTATGGCCTGCTGCCACTAGGTGGTGGTGGTGTTTCAGGTTTATGAATCATCTTTTACTCTGAGATTCAGATAGCTATCTTAATTTGGGGGGTTTCTCTGGTAGCTTGACTTCCCTGATGGCTCAGATGGTAAAGCGTCTGACTACAATGCAGGAGACCTGGGTTCAATCCCTGGGTCAGGAAGACCCCCTGGAGAAGGAAATAGCAGCCCACTCCAGTACTCTTGCCTGGAAAATCCCATGGACAGAGGAGCCTGGTAGGCTACAGTCCATGGGGTCACAAAGAATCGGACATGACCGAGCAACTCGGACATGACCGAGTGACTTCACTTCACTTCACTGGTAGCTCAGTAAAGAATCTGGTTGTAATGTGGGCTATCTGGGTTCGATCCCGGGTTGGGAAGATTCCCTGGAGAAGGAAATGACAACCCACTCCAGCAGTCTTCCCTGGAAAATCCCATGGACAGAGGAGCCTAGCAGGCTGCAGTCCATGAGGTTGCAGAGTTAGACAAGACTGAATGAGCAACACTAACTAAATTTTTTGACCACTCAAAGAAAAAAACAAAAAAGGGTATAATTCTGTCTTCAGCCCAAATTAGCCTTTAGGAGTACTAGCCAGGGATCAAGCCAGCAGGGCTTGCTGGCTGGTTTCAAAGTAAGGCACTCTGTGACCATAACTGTCAATGACCTGCTTCGCCAGGGGGCTGGCAGGTGATGGTCAGCTGCAGCTCCCCCAGCCTGGACCCTGGACTGTGACGGGGTTCCAAGCAAGGACCAGAGCAGGGCTGGCTGCAGAAAGTGAAAGAACCCAGCCCAGTGGCCAAGAAGAAGGAGGCGACTGGTTCCAATGATAGCCTGCTTGTCCATGACCCATGCTCAGTCATCCAGGATTCCCAGGTGTGAGGGTGGGTCCAGGTGCGTCAAGACGGGGGTGCAAGGGAGCCCCACGGCCTCTCTCTCCTGCCAACAGATGTCAGCCATTGAGACCATGACGGAGAAGCTGGAGAGCTTCGCGGCCATGAAGGTGGACTCCGGCAGCTCCCTGCAGCCCCTCCCACACCACCCCTTCAACTTCCGGTCCCCGCCCCCGACGCTCTCAGACCCCATCCTCAGGAAGGGCAAGGAACGATACACATGCAGGTGAGATGCGGTGAGCCCCTGGGGCAGCCCCAGGGAGATGGCCACAGGTGCCACATGGGCCCATGAAGCTGCACTTCCAGGAAAAAAGCTCAGTCTCAACCAGAGTCTGGCATGGTAGCCCACCGGCCATTGTCCCCTTGAGGTCATTCCCTGAAAATATCCACAGGTCCCCCCACCAAGCTGTGCTCCAGTGAACACGAGAAAATGCAGCCTTGGCCAGCAGGTTGGAATTTCCAAGCCGGAAGCTAAGGCTGCTGGTCTGTGTTTAACCCCAGCTCTGGGGGTGGTGGGAAGCCCAGCACTAGGGAGAGACATCTCATCCCCGGCTGCACAAGCCTGTGCAGGCCGGGCTAGGGACCGAGAAACTGCCTGGGGCAGGGTCACGGCCCTAAGCAGGCTGGCATTGGCCAGCTGCCCAGTGGTGTGTGTCCAGCCTCTCTGTGACACTCAGCTGGGCCCTGAGGCCAAGGAGAGACTGAAATCCAGGGTGTGCAGTGGGTCACCTGCCCCCAGGTGTGGGAGAAACAGCACCAGAAAATACCTGGGTGCCCGCGTCTATGGCAAAGCACCTGCCTGATGGATCCTTCCCCCAACACCGCCCCCCAGGTACTGTGGCAAGATCTTCCCCCGGTCAGCAAACCTCACGAGACACCTGAGGACGCACACCGGGGAGCAGCCATACAGGTAGGAGCCCGCCCAGTTGGGGTGGGGGAGGCAGACTCATGGCGACCTCCCCTTCCCCTGCCATGGGATGGGCAGCGAGTGGGAGCAATGCTTGACCTTTCTCCAGGTCACTCACTGGGTCACTACATCCTGGCCGCTCAGCCCTCATGCACCTGGGGATATTGTAAAGGTCAGGCTTCTGGAAAGTTCCTGCCCACTGACTTCGGAGGGTGTCTGGGAGCAGCCCTCTCTCCTACCACTGGGGTGTCAACTGGAGAGCAAAGCTAGGCCCAGGGGTGGTCTGTATGGAGGGTGAGCCTCAGCGTCACCACCACCCAGCCCACCTCCACTCATCTCCCTACGACCACTGGCCATTGCTGACCTCAGCCTGGGCATGGGACCAGGGTGAGCCCCTAAGGCAGGGTGGGCTGGTCTCAGAGAAGGAGCCCCATGCAAACTTGGATCCTACCCAAGCTGGGGGCGTCCTGAGGATTCACCTAGGTGCCCCGACCACCCTGGACGGGAGCCCTGTCTGCCCTCACCTCGCTCCTCTGTGCCTCGTCCCCTCCCTGCAGAATGTGGCCGCAAGCACGTGGGGGCTGTGAGAGCCTCTACATTTCATGTTCACAACCGTTTCAAAGCCTTGGAGCCCCGAGCTCAGAGATGCCCCTGACTTGCCAGGGTCCAAGCTCACGGTCATGCTTGCCGACCATTCTGGCCTTTTCCCTTGGTGCCTAGGGCATTTGTCGGGCAAGAAAAGAGCTGAGGATAACATCCTGGCTTTCGGGGCCCCAGGAGTCCCAGGGGATGGAGACCTTGAGACAAATTGGGGAATGCTGGTCCCAATGTCAGGACGATATCCTGGGCTGTCTGGTGGACAGCGGCCTTTGGGAGCAAGGGGTCTGACATTGTTTTAAGTGGGCAGCATCAGGTTTCTGTCCTCTGGGCACACAGCTGGGAGTGACCCATGGGTCCAGGAAAGTTAGGGTGTATCCCCATCTCTGGGCAGGGCAGCCCCAGGGGCTCCTGCAGGCATCACAGCCCCCAGGCCCTGTCCCAGCCGGGTAAACGTCAGCTCACGTCACTCACCAGTCATCTGCTCAGTGCCCTCAGCTGGCCCCCAGCACACAGCCCCCCACCCCGTTCCCCTCCAAAAGTGACTTACAACTTAACAAAGGCGGGCTTGGCCTGCTTCTGTCCCGGACAACGAGCCAGGTGTGTTTCTGTAAGGAGAACCAACTTCTGGACAGGGTTGCATATAAGAGCCCCTAGGGGTTCAGGTCCATGTTTATAGAAGGATTTAATTATCATTGATTTCTTTTGCTCTTTCAATCTGTGAGTTTCGATGCGAGTAACAATAATTGCTTTGAAAGTTGGCATTGCAAATCCTGACCGTATCTAGCTCAAGGCAGCCCCACAATGAGGAGTTCGGGGTGTGGGCCTGTCTTGTGACGTCACTGGGGCATCTGGCCTCACTTTGGGAATTGGAGGGGCTTCAGTTGGAGGAAGGAAAATGCAAGTCCATCCACAGAAGGCCAGTGCTGGCACAGGCCAGGTCACCCCAGTGACGCCAGTGAAAACCACTGCCGCCTGTCTGTACCCCACATGTGTACACTGCGTGTGTGCCCACGGAGGCCCGGCTGGTGGGTGGTTGCCCCCACAAGCAAGAGAAAGACAGACCCCTTAGTGTGACAAACCTCTGCCTGGCTGGGCCGGTGTCCTAGTTTAGACATCTTTGAGTGGGGCTGGGAGATGAGGGGCAGTTGATGATGTTTTTTCAAGCTCCAGCACGTAGGGCTTGTTGAGATGTGGGAAGGAGGGGGGCTGCTTCCTCTGTCCTGGCAGCCTGTCCAGGGGTCCCTCCAGCGGCTGCCCAGAGGTGGGTGGGGGCTCTTGAGTCCCACTCTAGATGCCCGTGGGCTGGCCGTGGGCTCCTGGTGGGACCTGGGACTCCAGCTCTAAGGATGCTCACCTCCCCCCATCTGCAGATCGTTTCCGCCATGGCTCCCCGTCCTGCTAACTGTGTTGAGTCCATGTGCCCAGCAAGGTCCTGTTACCAGGGTGGCACATATGTGTCTGTTCTTTGTTCATTTTATTGTTAAGCCTGGGTTACAAAGGGCTTCCTTGGTAGCTCAGCTGGTAAAGAATCCGCCTGCAATGCAGGAGACCCCGGTTCGATTCCTGGGTCGGGAAGATCTGCTGGAGGAGGGATAGGCTACCCTCTCCAGTATTCTTGGGCTTCCCTGGTGACTCAGATGGTAATGAATCCACCTGCAATGTGGGAGACCTGGGTTCCATCCCTGGGTTGGGAAGATCCCCTGGAGTGGGGCATGGCAACCCACTCCAGTATTCTTGCCTCAGAATCCCCATGAACAGAGGAGCCTGGCAGGCCACAGCCCATTGGGTTGCAAATAATCGGACAGGACTGAGCAAATAAGCACTTACCTAAAGCCTTTCTCTCTCTGGTGGCTGGTGTGGTTCCACTAGGTCCAGAGTGGACACAGCCACCCCCCAGGGGCCATTTCACTCTCCCCACTCAGCGCTGTGTCTTCAACACCGCTGGCTTCCCCAGGGCGGGAGCAGACGCGGTCACAGCAAGGTCCCCTGGCTGCCCGCTGCCTCGGCTGGCCGGTCTCTCCTCACCCATTCCTGTTGGAGTGCGATGGTGTGCTATTTTATATGGCACAGCCATAAATTTCACTAGCCACTTGTCAGCTTATTTACAACGCAAATTCCAGCTGCTCCGAGAGCCCTGCTCCCTCACAGCCCTGGGCTCACCAGTCCCCTAAATTTCTGCACTTCTGGGAGATGCACTTCTCTGGGCCATTTATTTAGATTAGAACCAGGAGAGGGCCAGATTCAGAACCCTGTGACCAAATTGAAAGCATGGCTGCTCTCCCGGCCCCTCCCGCCAGCTGAGGTTGGGGAGTGACGGTGCTCAGGCCGGTGACCGAGCTCCTCATCCAGTCCTGTTTCTCACTCAGCAGTCCCACTGCTCCGAGATGCTGCACCGCCACTGCTGGGGCTCACAGAGGGTCCCTGCTTTTCCAAAGACACAGGAAAGGAAAGCTGAGTATGCAGATATCTGTGTAGACCAAGGCAGGCACCCCATGCAGCCTGTGGGAAGGCTGTTGGATGGGCTGGGGCCAGCTTGGCCTTGTACTTGCCCTACAGGCGAGCCTGGCAGCACTGGGGGCTGAGGATTTCTGTGGGTTTGAGGGTGTGTTGGGGGCAGAGTTGAGGAGCGAGATGGTGCAGGCAGGGATATAAAAGTCCTCCTTCCTGGACTATTGAGAGGGGGGTCGCTGGGTCAGGCACATGTGAACATCTCTGCTCAGTCCAGCGGGGAGAGGGTTTTAAGCCCCGGTCCCACTGCTCTGTCACCCCGGCTGAGAAAGACAAGACAGCCACCTTCCGGGTGCTGGCAACTGGGACGTAGGTCCAAGTCGAGGCTGCTGAACGTTACGTGGCTGTGGGAGGTCTGAGGCCCCACATCCTAGGGGCTCCCAGGGGCCCGGTGGCAGCTCAGCTGGCTCAGCAGGCCAGCCCCAGGGCCACAGGGGTGGCTGGAAAGAGCTTGGGGGGCTAGTGCGTGGATCATGGGCAGCTCTTAGCCCATCTGCTGTGGAGGCAGCCAGCATGAGTCTGGCCTCAGGCAGCGTCTGGAAGCCTCAGGAACTGAGTAAATGAAGTCCCAGAATCACATCAGGGGAGCAGTCTGGGCTCCTCCAAGCGGGGCCCATCCCACAAGTGTTATCCCCTGGGTGAAAGTGTTAGTCACTCAGTGGTGTCCGACTCTTTGTGATCCCGTGGCCTATAGCCCACCAAGCTCCTCTGTCCATGGGGATTCTCCAGGCAAGAATACTGGAGTGGGTTACCGTTTCCTCCTCCAGGGGATCTTCCCAACCCAGGGATCAAACCTAGGTCTCCCGCGTTGCAGGCAGGTTCTTTACCGTCTGAGCCACCACTGAAGCCCTACAGGTAGGGGGAAGCCACCCACAGGTAGGGGTGGGAATTTGGGGGCTCTCACCCTCCCACCACAGAGAGCTGCCACCAGCTTTGAGCAGAAAAAGCTCAGCCCCAGGCCCCAGTGGCCAGCCGAGGGGCGTCAAGCTTCCTGTCTCAGGGACCCAGGGACACTGGGTTTGCCCAGACTCCCTGGGCAGGGCCAGCTTCTGAATGTCAAGTGTCAGGCCAGCGCCTCCTAAGTGGGCGGGTGGCACTGGGGTGAGAGGCCAGGGCCCCGGAGTGTCCTCAAACATGTCCCCGTCCACATGAATGAGTGCTCGTGACCACTGCACTGTGCTGGAGCTCGGCCACTAGCCCCCGCAGGAATGCCAGGCTGTGTCCTCAGGATGGGTCCCCGCACCTTCCAGCCACACCCTCTGAGCGGACTTAGTCTCCCAAGCCCTGCCCCACCACACTGGCCACATAGAAGGGCCTGCCCGGTCCACGTTCTGCCATGCTCGCCTCTCTGCTTGTCATTCCATGGGAGCCTGTTCCCAAAACAGGGAAATAGCTGATCTCAGGGATGGATATCTCAGTGCTCCTGTGCCTCTGAGCCTCGGATGGGCATCCCTGGAGAAGTTCTGAGACCAGGAGCACACGAGTGTACCCACCAACACATATGCACACCTACCACACATTCACCTGTAAGCATGCACATATAGCCCCACATGTGTGCATGAGCAAACTGACACACAAGTGTAACTGGAGACTCAGAGCTGGAGTCCCCCTGCCGTGGCCCCGCTGGACATGCTGGGTGGGTGGGAGTGCCCGGCCAGTGGTGACGGCCTGGAGCCCCGCGACGGGAGGAAGCGGCCCTCTCTGCCGAGTTGTGCCGTGGGTCCTCAGTCCCCCGCGCCCCACCCTCTCTCTGGTTCTTGCTTCTTGGTACTGGTATCGCCCAGGCCCTCACTGTTGGTCCCCTGTGGTAACCTGGGGGACACCTTCCCTCCCTCCTCTGCCCTGGGAGAGGCCCCACACCCACAGGGACCCTACACACACCAGACATCTCAGGTTGCTCCTTGTGGCAACTTCGTGCTTTGCTCTGATAAACTCTGTGTCATGATACTCCGACAACCGAAGCGTCTGAGGAAAGAGTGTCTTTTTTCATTCCCAGGTGTGCCATGCAGCCTGGCAGCAGATGCCCCTGGGAGGGCACTAAGATAAACCAAATGCACAGTGCTGGGGGCACCTCCACCAAAGGGGTCCATGGGCAAGAGGCCATCTGACGGAGTGAGGCTGGGAGCCCCCATCAACCTGGAGCAGAGGAGGGTCGGTGTGGCCCTGCAGCCTGCTAGTGGATTGGCAAGCTGAATCCCCAAGGGCGATGGGTCTGCTTGAGCACACATTAAGAGGAGCTGGGACCAGGCCAGAGTAGGGGTCTGTCTGACAGGAAGGAAAGCTGCAGGCAGCGGGTCTGGGCTCCTTTCCGGAAAAACCTGCTGGGAGCATCTTTCCTGGTGCTCGGCCGCCCCCTCGAGGCTGCCGGGAGCACGCCACCCTCTGCTGTGGACCCTGCGCTGGGCGGGCAGGACAGCAGAGAGGGGAGAGATGCAAGGAGACACCAGGGAGTCCCGGTGCTGCCCACCCCAGGGCACAAGCCCCAGTGGGTCCCGTCCGCCAGCTCAGGGCACAGTCCCACAGCATCCACCGCCCAGAGTCAGGGATGCAGGGGACACCTGCTTCCAGGAACACTTGGCAGGGACCACCTCCCAGCTCTCCACCATGGTCCAGGGGCCTCAGGGAGGCCATGTGGGCAGGGGCTCCGCTGAGGCGCCGTGTCTTCCAGGTGTAAGTACTGCGACCGCTCCTTCAGCATCTCCTCCAACCTCCAGCGGCACGTGCGGAACATCCACAACAAGGAGAAGCCCTTCAAGTGCCACCTGTGCAACCGCTGCTTCGGGCAGCAGACCAACCTGGACAGGCACCTGAAGAAACACGAACACGAGCACGCACCAGGTGGGGGCGCGAGGGGCGGCCGTGGAGGAGGGCTGCGGGGCCTGGGGGGCCTGGGGGACGGGGTGACGGGCCACGGGCGAGGGGTGCTGGGAGCAGGGAGGGGGGCCTGGGGTACGGGGGTGACGGGCCATGGGTGAGGGATGCGGGGCTTGGGGGGCCTGGAGGACGGGGGTGATGGGCCGGGGGGCTGCTGGGAGCAGGGAGAGGGGGACCTGGAAGGATGCGGGTGACAGGTCGCAGAGGTGGGGTGCTGAAGATGGGTCAGGGGGGCCTGGAGGATGGGGTGATGGGTGGGGTGGGGTGCTGGGAATGGGGAGGGGGACCTGGAGGATGGGGTGATGGGTGGGGGCGGGGAGCAGGGTGGGAAGAGGAGGGCAGAGGAGGGGGCACACAGGCTAGTCTTAGGGGAAAGTTTGCAGAAACCCCTCAAGCCATCTTCACTCGGGAACCTTGTACCCTCAAGTTTCCCTAACGGGGTGTTCCCTAAGAGTGCCCTGCATGTGCACCCCTCCAGCCACCTGTCCCCTCCTGCTGTGCCACAGAGGGTGGGGTGCAGCCAAGGGGTGCCCTCCTCTGATGCTCCCCCCTCCCCGCAGTGAGCCAGCATGCGGGGGTCCTCACCAACCACCTGGGGACCAGCGCCTCCTCCCCCACCTCCGAGTCGGACAACCACGCACTTTTAGATGAGAAGGAAGACTCCTATTTCTCTGAAATCAGAAACTTTATTGCCAACAGTGAGATGAACCAAGCATCAGCACGAACGGACAAACGGTAAGAAACACGTCCCAGGGTCCCAGGCAGGTCTGGACTCTGTGTGGTTCCCTGTATGGTCATGCTCACAGCAAGCCCCCACCATAGCACCAGAGACCTCAGGCCCACAGCAGAAGACGAGGCCTGCAGGCTCTGCAGCTGGCTTCCTTCCCACCCACCACCCCCCCTGCCTCGGCTCTCTGCATCGGCAGAGAACAAGCACCCCAGACGGAGGGCGGGTGTCACACGCTCGGTGCCACCAGCACACGGGCCTCAGTGCACAGTTTGGCCTCGGTGTTAACACGTTCAGCGAGACGTGAACCAGCTGAGGGCTCCTTTCGTGAGATCCACCATGCCTCTGAACTCCAGGACAGACTCATTCAATTTGACACACGAACGGTTTCTAGCAAGAGTGCTGGTCCTTTAAACACACACACAGGCAGGAAAATGGAAGAATTGGGATCCTAAGATGTAGAGGCTATAACACATTCCCTTGATCCAAGCCTCAGCGGCAGAGAGACTCAGAGACGCCGGACTCCCGGTGCTTAGGGGCGTGCTCCCCTGCTTCTGCAGAGGAAATGAGGCCCCGAGGACTGGGCACCTGGCTCCAACCCTTCTGTCCATGGGTGGGCTGCCAGCCCAGGGCCCAGTGCCCTCCCACCCAGGACACCCGGCTTCCCAGGGGCCTGTCTGCTCCCCGCAGGCGGGCTGCATCTCCTTCACCCCTGGGACTCCTGAGGCAGAGCAGGAGCACTGAGCAGACCTTCAGAATCCACAAGCAGGCACATGGGCTTGGCGCTCGGGCTGTTTCTGGTTCTTCTGAGTTTTAAATCCATGCCCAGGAAGGTGATCCCATCTGGTGCCTGGGTGGGCTCAGAGGAGGGGACATGGGAGAGGCTGGCCGTGGGCTGCATGTACCAGAGCCCCACCCTGCCAGGCACCAAAGACCTTGATATCAGGGGGCGGCCAACCAAGTGCCTCGGTCCATCCCTGGCTCTGGTCACGTGTGATGGTCTAGTGGGAGCCCAGCCCTGCCATCTGCGCCCAGCATGGCGAGCTTCATTCTGGCAACACTCTGGGCTCCCTCTGAGAGCCATCCATGGTTCAAGCTCCGAGGTCTCCACCTTCAGAGTAAGTCATGGACCTAAGCATCCAGGAGCCAGGCCATGAGGCTGATAAAGCCTCCCCTGAGCTGTGGACCCCTGTGCCCAGGGCAGAGCCAGACGGGGAGCTGACAAGGACATGCCAGGGGCATCCTCCCTGGGGTGGACAGCCCCCCAGCGCTGTCCGTGAGTGGCAGGCCCAGCTCTCAGCCATACAGAGGACACCCCAGGGGAGCCACCAGGGAAGACGGGGTGTCCCCAGAAGGAAGAGGGGCTGGCACCACCCTGACCCCACAGAGCAGCATTTCAGCCAGGGCCCCAGAGGTGGGGGCAGTGAGTGAAACTCAGACACTGGCCCCACACCCCTCAGAAAGCCCAGGGCAGAGCCAGCCCACAGACCAGGCCCTCGGATGGCCTCTCCCCACTGGAGGTGCCCCCACATCATTGTCAGAAGTGGGACCATGTTGACGGTTGATGTTTGTCAGCTAATGTGCAAAAAGTTCTAGGATGCTGGCAGTTCTATTGGGGCCCAGTGTTAACACCATCCAGAACCAGTAGTCTTCTCTTGACAGTCCATTATAACTCAGGGCCTGCCAGGCTTCCTGATCCCAGAGGGAATCTCTGCAGAGGCATGGGTCAACAGTGGCCTGCTGCAGGGTCAGGGGCACTGAGTACAACAGTCCGGGGAGCCCTGGCATGCTGGCATAGGTCCTTTTGAAGGAGGTTGCCATAGCCACTATTACCCCTACCATAGTTTGGCCTCGGGCCAAACTACAAGGAGGGAACACAGCCCCATCCATCAGCAGAAAATTGGATTAAAGACTTACTGAGCATGGCCTTGCCCACCAGAACAAGACCCAGTTTTCCCCACAGCTAGTCCCTCCCATCAGGAAGCTTCTACAAGCCTCTTATCCTCATCCATCAGAGGGCAGACAGAATGAAAACCACAGTCACAGAAAACTAACCAAATTGATCACACGGACCACAGCTTTGCCTAACTCAATGAAACTATGAGCCATGCTGTGTAGGGCCACCCAAGACGGACTGGTCATGGTGGAGAGTTCTGACAAAACATGGTCACTGGAGAAGGGAATGGCAAACCACTTCAGTATTCTTGCCTTAGAATCCCATGAACAGCATGAAAAGGCAAAAAGACAGGACACTGAAAGATGAACTCCCCAGGTCGGTAGGTGCCCAATATGCTACTGGAGAAGAATTAAGCAATAATTTCAGAAAGAATGAAGAGACAGAGCCAAAGCAAAAATAATGCCCAGCTGTGGATATGACTGGTGATGGAAATAAAGTCGGACACAATAAAGAACAATGTTGCATAGGAACCTGGAATGTTAGGTCCATAAATCAAGGTAAATTGGAGTGGTCAAGCAGATGGCAAGAGTGAACACCAACATTTTAGGAATCAGTGAACTAAAATGAACCGAAATGGGTGAATTTAATGCAGATGACCACTATATCTACTACTACGGGCAAGAAGCCCTTAGAAGAAATGAAGTAGCCCTCATAGTCAACAAAACAGTCCAGAATGCAGTGCTTGGATGCAATCTCAAAAACGACAGAATGATCTCTGTTCATTTCCAGGGCAAACCATTCAATATCATAGTAATCCAAGGCTGTGCCCCAATCACTAATGCTGAAGAAGCTGGAGTTGAACAGTTCTATGATGACCTACAAGACCTTCTAGAACTAACACCAAGAAAAAGATGTCCTTCATCATAGGGGTCTGGAATGCAAAAGTAGGAAGTCAAGAGATACCTGGAATAACAGGCAAGCTTGGCCTTGGAGTACAAAATGAAGCAGGGCAAAGGCTAACAGTTTTGCCAAGAGAACATACTGGTCATAGCAAACACCCTTTTCCGACACATGACATCACCAGATGGTCAAACCAAAATCAGATTGATTATATTCTTTGTGGCCAAAGATGAAGAAGCTCTATACAGTCAGCAAAAACAAGATCAGGACCTGACTATGCTTCAGATCATGAACTCCTTATTGTCAAATTCAGACTTAAATTGAAGTACATAGGGAAAATGACTAGGGTCATTCAAGTATGACCTAAATCAAATCTCTTATGATTATACAGTGGAAGTGACAAATAGATTCAAGGGATTAGATCTGATAGAGTGCCTGAAGAACTATGGATGGAGGTTTGTGACATTGTACAGGAGGCAGTAATCAAAACCATCCCCAAGAAAAATAAATGCAAAAAGCCAAAATGGTTGTCTGAGGCCTTACAAATAGCTGAGAAAAGAAGAGAAGCTAAAGGCAAAAGAGAAAAGGAAAGATATATCCATCTGAATGCAGAGTTTCAGAGAATAGCAAGGAGAGATAAAAAAGTGTTTTTAAGTGAATAATGCAAAGAAATAGAGGAAAACAATAGAATGGGAAAGACTAGAGATCTCTTCAAGAAAATTAGAGATACCAAGGTAACATTTCATGCAAAGATAGGAACAATAAAGGACAGAAACAGTATGGACCTAACAGAAGCAGAAGATATTAAGAAGAGGTGGCAAGAATACACAGAAGAACTATACAAAAAAAGATCTTAGTGACCCAGATAACCAGGATGGTTTGATCATTCACCTAGAGCCAGACATCCTGGAATGTGAAGTCAAGTGAGCCTTAGGAAGCATTGCTACAAACAAAGCTAGTGGAGGTGATGAAATTCCAGCTGAGCTATTTCAAGTCCTAAAAGATGATGCTGTTAAAGTGATGCACTCAATATGCCAGCAAATTGGAAAACTCAGTAGTGGCCACAGAACTGTAAAAGGTCAGTTTTCACCCCAATCTCAAAGAAGGGCAATGTCAAAGAATGTTCAAACTACCGCACAATTGCACTCATCTCACATGCTAGCAAAGTAATGCTCAAAATCCTTCAAGTTAGGCTTCAACAGTATGTGAACCAAGAACTTCCAGATGTACAAGCTAGATTTAGAAAAGGTAGAGGAACCAGAGATCAAATTGCCAACATCTGTTGGATCATAGAAAAAGCTAGAGAATTCTAGGAAAACATATACTTCTGCTTCATTGGCTATGCTGAAGCCTTTGACTGTGTGGATCACAACAAACTGTGGAAAATTCTTCAGGAGTTGAAAATACCAGACGACCTTACCTGCCTCCTGAGAAATCTATATGCATGTTAAGAAGCAACAGTTAGAACTGGACATGGAACAATGAACTGGTTCCAAATTGGGAAAGAAGTATGTCAAGATTATATATTGTCACCCTGCTTATTTAACTTATATGCAGAGTACATCATGAGAAATGCCAGGCTGGATGAAACACAAGCTGGAATTAAGATTGCCGGGAAAAATATCAATAACTTCAGATATGCAGATGAAGTACCCTTATGGTAGAGAGAAAAGAGGAATTAAAGAGCCTCTTGATTAAGGTGAAAGAGGAGAGTGAAAAAGCTGGCTTAAAACTCAACATTCAAAAAAATGAAGATCATGGCATCTGGTCCCATCACTTAATGGCAAACAGGTGGGGAAACAATGAAAACAGTGACAGACTTCAGTTTCTTGTGCTCCAAAATCACTGTGGATGGTGATTGCAGCCATCAAATTAAAAGATGCTTAATCCTTGGAAGAAAAGCAATGACAAACCTAAACAGTGTACTCAAAATCAGAGACATCTCTTTGCTGACAAATGTCCGTCTAGTCAAAACCATGGTTTTTCCAGTAGTCATGTACAGATCTGAGAGTTGAACCATAAAACAGGTGAGCACTGAAGAACTGTGCTCACCTGATGAAGAACTGATGCTTTTGAACTGTGATGTTGGAGAAGACTCTTGAGACTGTTGGACAGTAAGGAGATCAAAGCAGTCAATCCTAAAGGAAATCAACCATGAATATTCATTGGAAGGACTGTTGCTGAAGCTGAAGCTCCAATACTTTGGCCTCCTGATGCAAAGAGCTGACCCATTGAAAAAGACCCTGATGCTGGGAAAGATTGGAGGCAGGAGAAGGGGACGACAGAGGACAAGATGTTTGGATGGCATTACTGATTCAAAGGACATGAGTTTGAGCAAACTCCGGAAGATGGTGAAAGACAGGGAAGCCTGATGTGCTGCAGTCCACAGGGTCGCAAAGAATCTAACACAACTGAGCAACTGAACAACCACAATTAGACTGGAGTGGAGAGGGACGATCCCTGCTGTTTGAGCCACAGCCATGTGCTGTGTTAGGCTGGCCCCGGGGACACTCTGCACCCAGGCAGCTGTTTGGAGGCCTGGCCACTCGTCCTGGTTTCCTCTCTGTCTGAGGCTGTCTACAGCCAGACTCCCCACTCTGTCCCCGCTATATTCATTCCCCACCCTCAACGAGCGCTAGTGTTTGACGCAGGCCTCCCACGAATGAGTAGATTTCTGTGCAGGGCGAGGCAGGGTGCAAGGGCAAACTGCTCATTTGTGGTCGCTGCTCCCACAGAGGGGGCTTATATATAAACGCACAGGACTCAGGTTCGATTAAATGACACACAGGGTTTTGCACTGACCCAAGCTCCGCACCCTTGCTGTCCATCAGCTCTCAGGGTGGGGGCTACTCTCACATTCCCCGGGAGGGTGTGGGCTCTGAGATGACAAACCCCGCCCAAGGGGACCTGCCAAGACCCAGGGAGGGAGGCAGGACCTGGCTCTGGGGTCCTCACCGCTGGTGGACAGACATGAGCCTGATGCCCAGCATCAAGGGAGACATGTGAAGGTCCTGCCTGTCCTGGAGAATAGGTCAGCTGTCAGCAACTGTACACTCTCCCGTGGAAAGATGAGAAGTGAAGATGGGGGTGGCCAAGAACTGAACCACCTGGGGCTTCCCAGCCCGTCCACTCAGCTCTGTATTTGGAGATGGTGACCACTTGGAGAAGACATCGCCTCTTGCCTTAGTACCTCAAGCAGGACCCCGAGTCTCTCCCAACAGCAGGGGATGGACTCCCATGGGCTGTGTGAGGTCCAGAAGGGGTGGAGTCCAGGGGCTCAGAACTCCAATTCATGAAGCATGTGCCTTGCCCCCCATCCACCTCCACCCATGTGTGGGACACCTGCCCAGGTGGCCTTGGGCCCAGCCCATGTGTGGCCACGGCACCTGGTCATGAACTTGCAGATGAACCGAACAACACCATTGTCATTTTCTCAAAGGAGTGGGCACGCTCTTCCTCACAGCTTGTTTTCTCTTTTCAATAATGAGGCCCAGAATGGGAAAGGCACCCAGCTGCAGGGACCGTGGGGATGAGGGGAGGGGTCTGGGCTGCAGGAGAGACAGCCCGGTCTCGGAAACACACTCACCTTGGAGGGTTTCCATTGGCGACAACAGCCCACTTCACGCGGCCCAGAGCTCCGGGTCCCAGACACCCCATCTGCGGAGGGCCGCTTGGTCCTCGTGCCCTCGTGGTGGGTGGGGAAGAGTGGGCACTCATCAGGGTGGGGCCGCACACTTCCTGCGCTCTGAGCCTCCCTGGGGGCACCCCTCATGCAGGGCCCAAGTCCAGTGCCAGCTCCCAGCACCCCTTGCCCGCCAGGCCAGCCCCTGAGTGGCCCAGTGTCCACGCCAGCATGACGGGATCCTGCTGCCAGCAGTTCCCGCCCAGCTCCAACCTGGTCCTGGGCAGGTGCCCTTCCCTTTTTTAATCACTCGGAACAGTGGCTGAGGGCAGCGATGAGCCGCTCAGAACCCCAGCTCTGAGAGTCTAGTGACCGAGAAAGGCAGGCTACCGTCGGAGGGGGCTGGGGGCATCAAGGATGACAGGGAGCCAGAACCACTGGAACCAAGTTGCTGCCTCAGGACATCTGTGGTCAGCTCCCTCCGTGTCATTTCAGGCCGGAAGTCCAGGACCTGGATGGCACCTCCCAGTGCCCGGGCCTGGCCATCAGGAAGCCAGAGGACGTGGAGGAGGAGGAGGAGGAGGAGCTGGAGGAGGATGATGACAGCCTGGCAGGGAAGTCCCAGGACGACACCGCATCCCCCACACCCGAGCCTCAGGGCACCTACGAGGACGATGAGGATGAGGAGCCACCCACCTCCCTGGCCGTGGGCTTTGACCACACCCGAAGGTGGGCACCTGCCCTCCGTGGGCCCCGAGTGCTTGGGCCCCAGGCAGGGAGACGGGCAAACACCGAGGGGGCGACCTCACTCCCACACCCTCCACCCTGCCAGCGGGGTTCTCTCTCCCCAGTAGGTGTTTCCACTGCAAGGACTTCTGTGCACAGGTCAGGGTGAGACCAGGCCCCAAACACACACACACATGCACACATACCTGCAGACACATACACACAATGCACATGTGCACACATACTTGTGTGAACACTACACTTGCAACTGTGTACACACCCTCGCCCATGTGGGCACACGTATGCACATGTATGCCCACGTGCCCACATGCACACGTGTGTCCACACATATGCAGGTGCATGTTTGCACAAATGTGTGTATGCAAGTGCACACACACACATGCTTCACCCAGTCCAGAAGCAGAGCAAGGCAGGCAAAGGCTGAGAAGGAGCTGATCAGGGACCCATGGGTGGTCTCCAGCCCTGCAGAACCAGGAGCAGTGACATCTGCCTCCAGCAGGCTGTGGGTGGGGATTGAGTACCAATGATTTTGGAAGCTGGCAGAGGAGAGCCTCTCCTGCTGCGTCCCCACTGCTCACCACCTACATTCAGCACCGGTGATACCACCAGCATTCAAGGTCTTCCTGGGGGTGGCTGGCAGATCCTGCGGGCCCTTCAGAGATGGCCCACTTCCTCCCACTCTGGGCCCTGAGAGTGGGCCCCCCAGAACAACCCAGATTTCGGGAACCAAGACCTCTGCCCCGCTCCCAGCCTGTCCTCCATCCCCAGGGACCCGGCGCCCTGCCTGTGCTTGCAGTGTGTGTGCATGCACTGACCTCCTCTGTGTCCTCCATCACTTTCCTGTATTCATGTGGCTTCCGTCCACGTGTCTGTGTGTCCATGCATCTGTCTCCTGTGCATGTGGCTCGTGGAGACGCTGTGGCGTGCATGCAGGCACGGAGCTGGCCGTGGGGCCTCAGAGAGGTGGCCGAGGCCAGACAGGCTGACAGCGGGCCCCTCTCCGGTCGTTGGTGCAGGTGTGTTGAGGAGCCACCAGGCGGTCTCTTAGCTTTGGAGCCGATGCCGACTTTTGGGAAGGGGCTGGATCTCCGCAGAACAGCTGAGGAAACGTTTGAAGTTAAAGATGTGCTTAATTCCACCTTAGATTCTGAGACTTTAAAACAGACCCTGTACAGGCAGGCTAAGAACCAGGTAGGTACCTACCAGAGCCTGCCCCGACCTTCCCCAGGCTGGATGGCAGGCCCCAGCCGTGCCTCCCCCACCAGGGACCACCTCCCTTCTCTCTGTGGCCATCCCATGTCCGCATGGGGGACACCCAGGACTCCAGCCCTCCCATGCCCATTGCTTTGGCTAGAGAGACCCCCAAATGACTCCATTTCCCTGAAAGCAAGGGTGGGGAGAGGTTGAGGGCAGATGAACGAGAGCCAGCCCCTCACAAGGGTGCTCCCCGAGTCCCGCAGTGCTCCTGGACGTGTGGGTCCTGGCCCTCACGTCCCCGGAGGGTGGTTTCCACCAGCAGTGTTCTCATGGCAGCACTGGCCTCCCTCTGCCTCTGCCCAAGCAGGAGTGATGCAGCCCAGGGTCCTCTTGAGGGACACTCCCCCGTCAGGGTCACGGGCTCCAAGCTGCAACTATAGTGAGTCAGCAGGGCACAGGCTGGCTGGCATGACTCACCCTCAGCTTAGGGGCTGCAGGACCCTGCTTGTTTTCAGCCTGAGGGACTTGGGTTCCACTCAGCTCTCCGCAGCCCACCCAAATCTGAGCAAAAATCGTCTGCGTGTCTGTCTTCGTCTCTTTACTAATCCTGTCCGGAGTGTGAACTTGGGTGGACACCCCTCACCCCACCTGCTCTGAGCGGCCCCGGGTCCCGTCCACTCGCGCTCTGGGGGCCGAGCTGGGCTCTGGGCCAGAGGCATGTCTGCTCTTAGCTCAGAAATGCTGCACACCACGTCCCTGAAATAGCTCTGTGCCACCACCACGGTCATCCACACCCGACTGGGCCCACCAGGCAGGGCCTGCGCGTCCCTGATGGGGTCTCAGCAGTAACCACCAGCACCCTGGTCCCCCTGAAAAGCATGCCTTCCTGTGAATCCATGCTGATCACCAGGGATGTAGGGGCACCTTCGAGGGCGGATGTGCCCCAAAGAGGCTGAGGGTCTTAGTGGCCCTCTGCAAAGATGCCTCATCTGCAGGCCAGCCCCCTACACCTTTGTCCCCTGCCTCACCTCTGGGTCTGAGGTCAGCTGGAGGGGGTGGGAGGCTGGGAAGGGGTGGGCTGGCCTGGGGTCTACAGGACCTACCCTGCACCACTCACCTGCTATCCTGTGTGTACCCTCCCCTCCCTGCAGGCGTATGCAATGATGCTGTCCCTTTCTGAGGATGCTCCCCTCCACGCCTCCTCCCAGGGCCCTCTGGACACTTGGCTGAACATCGCAGGAGCCACGCCAGAGTCTGGAGCCTTTAACCCCATCAACCACCTCTGACCGGCCTGAGAGGGGCTGGGGTCAGAGTCCAAGTGATGCCACCAGGGTCCCCGACTTCCCAACAGAAATCTCCATGGCAGAAGACGGAGGCAAGGGCCTTGGGAGCCGGTGCCGCCTGGGGCTGAGGAGACCCCCCACCTTGTCACCTGTGTCTGACCACTCCTCAGCGTCTGTTCCCCCCTCCATGGTCCAACTCTGATTTTTGCAATGAAAACTCAGAACCCGGCATCCTTGGAGCCATCGTAGGGTTTCACCGGCTCTAAGCATCAGTCTTGAGAACGGCCTTCAGATGGTACAGCTCACTCTATCCAGGCACAGCACTGCGGGCTGCCTCACAGAGTCAACCCCGTGGGCAAGGATGGGGTTTGAACCCCACACTGAGGCTGGTGGGCCTCTCCCAGGCGCCGTGTGGCATCTGGGGAGGGAACAGACATCTGGGCGTGCTCTAAGGAGGGAATCGCCCTGACAATTTTTATAAAGAAAATGACAAGAATGATCCTTTTGGTAATCTTATTGACGACAGAGTCTATTTAAGCATGTGGTTTTAAAAATAGACAGTATTTTTAAAAAAAAGAATCACAAAGTGACTTGCAAATTGTTTTTTAAAAGTAATTTTGCATTGCTTTGAAATCTCAGCTTCTTTGCAAACCCAAACCTGCCTGGGACCCAGCCCTGTGTTTGGGGGTGTTCTTTATACTGTAGATAATGGAGAGATTTTCTATCCCTGACTGTTTGTAAAGCCAAGGTGATTCTGGGCACCCCGGCCCCAGAACCGAGGGGCGGAGCCCACTCCCGGGAGCAGTTTGAGACTGTGCCTGGAATCAGATATGATGTCCTGGGCTGGCCCAAGGCTGGGACTCAGAGATGTGCCTGTCATTGTGTGACATGGGATTCTTGCCAGCGGCCCCCACCCAGGGGAAGGTCAGAGCAGAGACTTGGTCCCCAGCGCAGAAGTGGCCAGGCCCCTCCGGCTCCCCCTCAACCATTCTGCAGAAGGCGGGGCCCACCGGTCATCTTGGGATCTCCAGCATCCACCCACCCCCCCTGCGGATGGACAAGGGGAAGGGAGTGGGCATCCCCCCCATAGGGGCTGCCATGGGGTGCACTCCAAGGCTCCTCTGCTCCAGGCTGCCAAGCTCCATGCTCACCCGAGACCCCAGGACACAACGGCCACTTCGCTCTTTGTGTGGGTTCCTGGTGGGCGGGACCCGGCTCCAGAAGGACGGGAGTCCAGGTGCGACCTCCACAAAGAGCTAAGACAGCACAGCCCTGAGGGGACGGACTGCACCTCCTAGGACCAGGCTGCTCTCCACTCGATGGGCTTTAAATTATTCCCATAGGGGCCAATTTCGAATAATTGTTGTTGTTTTTTTTTTTCCCTGATGGAATTGACCTTAATCTGTATATAACTTGTAATTTTTTCTAATTCATTTCTTTTCTTATTTTATTTCTTCCTTAACAGTATTTTTGGCATTAGACATTCTTATTGTGAAGAAATAATGTTAATATAAGTATCTAGTGAAGGACCAAAACCGTGTAATAAGGTTGTGTGTTGTGTGATCAATAACCAGGGAGTGGGGCGATTTTTAATGTGCCAAATACCCCACGTCCCCCCCCCAATGAATCCTGCTGCCCGTTTTCCAGACAATCATGTGTTTTTGTTAAATTTGAGTTTCAGTTGCATTTAAGACAAGTGCTCTATTTATTTCTTTTATTGTTTGGAAGAAAAACGAAGACTAGCATCCCAAGAAGAAGAGAAAAAATACCCGCCCAAGTTGCCCTAAGAAATGTGTGAAAATACAAACGGTCATGGAGCGGCCCACCGTCCAGCCTCTCCAGGCCAAGACAATCGTCCGCCTGGGCACTGGGGGTTTGGCTTCACGGTGGAGACCTGTGGATGGGGGTCCCCAAGGGTGCACAGACCCGCAGATCCTAGCGAAAGGATTTGGCCTTTCCCGGATCCGGTCAAGGTACCAGACTCAGAGCGCCTTCCACGTGGGAACAGGCTGGAACGTGGCCCGCAGGGCAGTTGGAGAAGCTGCTGGCAGAGGAGCTGGCCGCAGCTGCAACCACAAGGATTTACAGACATGGCCGCTCACACCGTCTCAGAAGCATCCTTCACCCCACCCCCCTAGTGGACCCACCTGGTGTGTCGCAATTTCCAACTCTCCCTCAATCGAGATGGGACCCCTTTGAAAAGTCAACCTCGGATACCACCTCCCCATTTCTGTAAACCCAAATTATATGATTTCTTCTGCTAAACAATAAGGTGTGTGCTTTTTTTTGCGATTTGACTCTCTCTGTCCAAAGCAGGATGTTTGGGCAGGTAGAGGCCCAAGTGTCTGTTCCCTGCGGCCCGGCCCTTCCATTCACCTCTGGTCTCTCTGTGACAGTCACGTTTAGCTCTCTGCAGCTGATCTCCTTAAACTCTGACTCTTTCCTTCTTTCCTTCCCCATCCCCAAGAAACCTGGCTGCACATTTTAAGTCCTATTTTTTGTCCCCCTTGAAGACAATTAGAGTAAGCCCAGTTTCTCCTCCAGCCTGAGCATTTGGCAGATTCGGTGGTGGGGAGGGTTCTGTCCTTAGACCCTCAGATAAAGAGAGCACTTATTTCCTACACCTGGTGGGTCCATGAAGCCTGGGCTCAAAGTTGGGTGTTGTCCCAACCACAGTCAGCTGCCCCTCCCCGGGTCTTCTCTGCCCCCAGGCTCCAGCACCAGCCACCTGCTCAGGGGATGCCCTAGAGGGTCTGGGAGCTCAGGCTGGAGAATTCCAGGAGCCCAGCTTCGTGGCACGGATGCAACTGGCAGCTGCCTGGCCGACCAGTGCATCTGTGGGCTGGTGGCCGGAGTCAGAGCTGTAAACTAGGAACCCCACTGGGCTAGTGTGCTAGGGCCAGGGCCCTTCACTCCAGCCTTGGCTGCTTCACTCTTTGGACTGCTGACTCTCACCCCCAAGTGGAAATTCGGAAGGAGGTCTCCTCACCCTTCCCTCTTCTGCCCCTCAGACCCCAACCCCCACCTCAGGCCCAACCCTTTCATTCCCGGAACAAGCAGGTAGGACCCCAGGACTGCTGACCTTTGGCCAGCCAGCCCTTCATAAGGGGGACCCAGAAGCCTCTGGTTGGAACCCAGAGGCGTGCATTCCTGCATCCCACCTGGAACTCTGGGGTGGGGATAAGTGACTGGGGTGGGCCTGAGAGACTGCCCAGCCCTAGTGGCCTTCCCATACAATGTCAAGAGTGCGGCCAGTCCACCCAGACACTGATTGGCCCTGTAAACCCTGAGGGCCCTTGTCCTTCTGCGTCCTGGCTGTTTCCTCAGTGAACATTCGCAAAGCACTTGCCTGAACACACATCCCTTGTGTTAGCCCTGAAGCCTCAAAGCACTGGATTGTGGCGCCCCAGCCCCCAGCCCCCCCACTACTGCCCAAGTGACTGAAATCTACTGAGCTTATTCACTGTGCTGTCCTGGGAGGGGCAGGGGCAGCACCCCCGGGAGAGCACCCCGCACTGCTGCCTGGGGCGCTGGCGGGGAATGGACGGGGAGCCGGGCACCTCGCTCCCCTCCCGGCTGGGGGCGCGGGGACACAGCTGCTCCTGGCCGGTGGAGGTCAGCCGGGTCTCAAAAGCCATGAATGTCTCTGTAGCGATGAGTGATACTGTGACTAAGACGTCCTCACAAGATGCCAAGGAGCGTCCCTCTCCTCCTGCCATTCCAGTGTTTATGTTTTCTTTCTTTTCTGTCACGGATTCATATTACCACTTGTGGGGAAAAAAAAAAGTAAAAGAAGATAGAATGAAAAGGCAGCTTATGTTTCCAGATGTGCAATTCACTCATGAACAAAGTTATCCTGAAGGTTCTTTTCCGCGCACTTCTCTTCCTCGTTCTCCTCCAAACGAGGGAAGCTGAGCCCCGTATCCACACGGAACTGGGGGCATCCATACGCGTACGCTGGTGACACTCCAAACCTGTGCGTCCATGTCATCCTTTGCCATCGTTACATTATGATTCGTTTTTTTTTTCTTTATTCTTTTTTTTTTCTTTTAGAGCTGTATAATGTTGAAAAGAAATCAAGTGTAAATGTCTGGTTTTTCTCCATAATGTTTTTTAAAAAAAAAAAAAAAAAAACCATTGAGGAGACTGGTGTATGTCCCACATCCCCCAATTGTAAATTTGCTTCTGTTCTAAGTAAACTGTGCATGGCTCGTGTGTAGTCATTATCGTGTCTGTTCGTGAAATTTTTACGAAAAGGAAAATCCCATAGATGCACTTATTAAATATGTGATTAGAGTCTGCGTCCTCAAGACTAGGAGTCCTGAACTGCCCACATGGAAGACGCAGTTCTTAATATGGAAATCGCTGTGGGAGAAGGAAAGGAAAAGACACCAAGTGTAGGAATCATTCAGAGAGTGACTCTGCAGATTTCATTTTGATGATGCTTGTGATAAAGACAAATGTTCTTGTGTAGAGAAATGTCTTTAAGATGAAGCCTAGGAGAAGCTGATTTTGAGGTTGATGCTGTAGACTAGGACTGTATACCAAATGTAATCTTTCCGATGCTACAATGAATTTATACATGAGATTGATATGCAATAAATCTGTGTGCTTTTCTAAGCCTCTGTGCCTGCGTGGTTCACCCAGGGAGAACAGAGGCCTCACAGGGCTGGGGAGGGATGGTGAGAACAGACTCAAGAGTCAGGGCGTGGCCAGTGGGGAGGCTCACCAGCCCTGATGGAGAGCCCCTCGTGCCATCCTCCTGTACCACCCCCAGGGCAGGTCCCCTTGCTGTTTCTGTTTTCTAGAAAAGAAAAGCTCAGAAGGGACACCAACTACCCGGAACAAGCTCAGAAGGGACACCAACTACCTGGAACAGCCTTGCAGTGAGCATGCTGCTCTCCAGCTGTGCTGTCCTCCAAGTGTGCCCACCTCAGAACAAGGTGACCTTTAGGTATGGCCCCCAGGTGTGGCAGCCTCCAGGTGTGGCAGCCTCCAGGTGTTTCTACTCTCAATCATAGTGGCCTTCAGGTGTGTCCATCTCCAGGTCAGCCTACCTCTGGGCATGGCACCCTACTGGTGTGCCCACCTCCAAATGAAACTGCCCCCAGGTATTCTTACCCTCACATGTCCCTGCCCCCAGTGCCCATGCCCGTGAACTCTCACCAGGGCCTCTTGATGGAGGAGAAGCCCATCCTATATGGCCAGCCCCAAATCTTCCCCCCTCTGAGAGCAGACCTCCCCACCGGCCAGCCCTCCACTTCAGCTGTGCCTGCCCCACACATTGCTCCCAGACAGGGCCTAAGCCTGACCCACCAGCAATGGCCAGATGGACCAAGGCAGAGCAAAGGCCAAGGCTGCAGGAGGAGCAAACACAGCCTCCCAGGGCACCTCTCCTTCTGTGTACCCAGGCATTCCTTCTTGGGGCCCATTTGTCAGGTTGCACAAAGAAATGAAGAATAGATGATAGATGAATAGGTGAATGGATGGATAGATGGATGATGGATGAGCGATGGATGGGTGGATGGATAGTAGATGGACAGATGGATGGGTGGATGGGTGGATAAATGTATGGATAGATGTGTGTATGGATTTATGTGTGGGTGGATGGATGATGGATAGGTGGGTGGATCCACCTATGAATGGATGGATGGAACAATGGATGAATGATAGGTGGGGGGAATGGATGGATGGATGGGTAGATAGATGACGGATGGGTGGTTTGCTGTAAAACTGTCACTCAACATGGATCTTGAGACCTCCAGTGTCTCTGAAGGGGGCTGGACCTGCTCTGAGAGAGGTAACAGAAGGGGGCAAGGCCTGGGTCCCTCTAATTGGTAGCATCTCATAGCCACCAGAGGGAAGAAACTGCAGTTGACCTTGGAACAAGATCTCTGGGCCCAAATCTGGGTACTGAGTCTTTTCACTTTCTTCACACCATCAAGTATGCGTGTCTTCAGGGTAGCACTGGTTGGGGGAAGCAGTTAAACATTTTCAGGTGATTTCTCCCCTGTTGTGACTGTCATCCTGAGATCTGAATCTTGTGGTCAGATGTGGGGTTTGCCCCGGAGTTCCAAGCACAGGGATGGCTTGAGAAATAAATTTCCATTCTCAGAGGACAAATGATGCAAATCACAGAACTGGTGAATGGCCACACTTCCAAAAATCATTCACCAAGATGGAGTGACAGTCTCCAGCCCACCCCATTATGCCCTCCCAAGCTCCCCAGGCAGGCTGCCGTCAGGGGCCAGAGCTCCTATCTTTGTTCAGCCCAGTAGTCTTTCTCTATGTCCTCCACCCCAAAGGGAGAGGAGTATCCTGGGACAGGAGCCTGTCTGATAAGAGCCCTATTGTCAGGGGGACCTCAGAGGAAACGAGCAGAGGCACACAGAACAGGCTGACAAGCCAACTCTGTCTCCCTAAAGCCCAGCTCCTGGCAGGGAAGATCGAGGGAAAAAGCTCCATTTTGGAAACAAGGGGGGTGAAAATCAACAGGAGAAAAATGTGTCAATGAGAAATCTGTTTTCTGGGAAAAGAGATGCTTTTGAATTCCCCTTCAGATTCATTTTGGGCCAAGTGAGCCTGTTGGTTATTTGCAGAGAATCTATTTTGAGAATCGTTAACTTCATTTTTGGGGGCAACAAAAGTCTTCCCCAAAATCAAAAAGTGTCTTAATTCAGGGTAAAATGGCTAGACACAGGCTGGCTTTTGTGGGAACAGATGGACTAGCAAGTGGGGCCCAGGAGAACAAGATGCTCAGAGCAGGGTTCTGGGGTGGGAGGTGGCTGCCAGCCACAGCCTGCACTGTGGTCCTCATGAAGGGAAGAGTACTGTACACAGCACTGCCCGGCCATATCCTCTCCAAAACTTACACCCAGTTCAGGAAAGGGATGTGGAGTTTGCTCCAGAGCTTCAGGGCAGAGAGGATGGAATTCCATGGTTATAAGACAAGGAGGCCTGAGCACCAGTTGAGGCCCAACTGGTGTGAGTGGTGTGAGGCTGTGAGTGTAAGTGAAGGTCGCCCAGTCATGTTTGACTCTGCAACCCCATGGACTATAGCCTGCCAGGCTCCTCTGTTCATGGAATTCTCCAGGCAAGAATCCTGGAGTGGGTTGCCATTCCCTTCTCCAGGGGATCTACCCAAACCAGGGATCAAACCCAGGTCCCCCACATTGCAGGCAGATTCTTTACCATCTGAGCCACCAGGGAAGCCCAACAGAGAGGATGGGGAACAAAAACCCCAAGGGAGGTAGTTGGCTTTTTCGCCTAGGATCCAGTTGATGCCCCTGGATTCATGAGTCCACCAGGCCTTGGAGCTCTGGATGACTTACGTGGTCCTGTCTTCAAGTTCACTGATCTTTTCTTCTGTAGCATCTAATCTGTTAACTTCATCCAGTATGTTTTTAAATGTTCATATCTTATATATATTTTTTGTCTTTAGAATTTTCATTTGATTCAGCATTCTTTTTCTTTTGATTATATTCATTATACATTATCCTTTCTCTTTTATGTTCAAGGCTTCTCTTATATCCTTGGAATAGTTATCATGTGTGCTAAGTCACTTCAGTCATGTCTGACTCTTTGCGACCCAATGGACTATAGCCCACCAGGCTCCTCTGTCCATGGGATTCTCCAAGCAAGAATACTGGAGTGGGCTGATATTTCCTTCTCCAGAGGATCTTCCCAACCTAGGGACTGAACCCACATTTCTTACATATCCTGCATTGGCAGATGGGTTCTTTACCACTAGCCCCACCCTTCATGAAGTGAAGCAAAGTGAAAGTCGCTCAGTCATGTCTGACTCTTTGCAACCCCATGGACTGTTGTCCAAAGAATTCTCCAGGCGAAAATACTGGAAGCCTTTCCCTTCTGCAGGGGATCTTCCCAACCTAGGAATCAAACCCAGATCTCACACATTGCAGGCAGATTCTTTACCAGCTGAGCCACAAGGGGAGCTCTGCTAGTTGCATCATCTATGTCGTTTCTGGGTCTCTTTCTATTGGATGCTTTTTCTCATAGTTAATAGGTCACATGTCTGTTAATGTTTCACTAGGTGCTGGAGGTGGTAAATGCAAAATGGTTGAAACCTTAGAGTTGACCTTCTTTTAAGAAACTTTCATGCTGACAAACAGTTACCTGACTTGGAGGCCAGCCTGGTCTCTGCTTGTTTCAAAACTCTTATCAGTCAGATGTAGAGCAGCCTCCACCCCTTCTACCTAAGGTGTAGGCTTACCTCTCCTGAGACATAGCCTTCTTTGATCTCCAGCCAATGCCCTGGGGTCCACGAGGCCTCTTGATCCTGGCAATTGGCTATCAAGTGTTTCTGAGCTTGTGTGGATGCTGGGAGCTGTTCTCTGCTCGGCTCCCAGAATCTCACTCTCCACACAGAACAGAGCATTTGACCAGACTCAGGCTGGCCCCGGGGGCATCTCAAGATCCTTTTCTGCACTGCTGCCTTCCCTCTGAGGCTCTGCCTGCAAGTCCCAGTCCCCTCAGCCTCCCTGACCCCATCTCTGCCCGCCTCACTAGCTCAGTGAAGCCACTGTGTTCTGCTTTGTCCTGCCTCTTGAAAGAAAATTGGGCAGGTGTGGGGCTCACCTCACTGGCTCCTACTCCCACCCCCCGGCTCTCTGCCACATGTTGTATGCTCAGTTGCTTCAGTCGTGCCCAGCTCTTTGCAACCCTGTGGGCTGTAGCCCACCAGGCTCCTCTGTCCATGGGATTCTCCAGGGAAGAGTATTGGAGTGGGTTCCCGTGCCCTCCTCCAGGTGATCTTCCCCACCCAGAGATTGAACCAGTGACTCCTTCATCTCCTGCACTGGCAGACAGATTCTTTACCACTTAGCCCTGCTACCTGTTGTCGACAATGACAACAGTTGCTTCTTATTTTTGCCTGGTTTACTATTGATTACAGTGGGAGCTGCATCATCACAGCTGGAATGTCTGTAATGCTTTGAATTCTCAATTGGAGCAGATAAGTGCATTTTTAAAATGCCTTACCTCTTTGGAAACCTGAAATAGTCCCTAATTATGAGAGGAGGCCTGGGCTTTGCACTCAGATAAGCCTGAGCTCTCCTCTTGGCCAGGTCACTCACTAGCCAGGTGATAAAGTACAGACACTTGACCTCTGGATGAAATGGAGACATTGACACCTTAGGGAGTTTCTGTAAGAATTCCATAAGGTGATGCAGGAAGCCTGGTACACAGTAGGTGTTTAATAGGAGGTAACAATCATTTGCTACCTTAATAGGAGGCCCAATTGTTAGCTGGGCCACAAGACTGTGTACTCCCTGAACTGAGCCTCCTGCTCAGCAAGGCCACCCCCATGGGCCAGAGAGGCAGCCAAGCCCTGCCTGCAGCCCCTGCGCCACCTCTTTGTCCATCTGTGGACCCCACCCGGCCTGGGCCTCCAGTCACCCAGCACAGAAGAGCCTCTGTCCTCAGGCCCACTCACAGCTGCTGCATCACCCAAGGTCAATGAGATCTTTCCCAGCTGCCCGCGGGCTGGACCGGGCACCCAAGGGGAGGGACTCTGCAGTCAGTGGTGGGTCAGCTGGATGCCAGGCCCAGAGAAGAAAGGAGACCTGCTGTGCCCAATCCTTCAGCCCCCACCTTCCCTGCGACTAGGGAGGTAGGGGAAGAGCGGGCACTGCCCTTTTTGTCCTCAGCACCCAGGATGGTCAAACCAAAAGGCCTCCTGGGGGGCTGCTGGCCTCAGGACACTGCCTCTCTGGCCTGCGGCCCTGTAACCGAGCAAAAGTTTGGAAGACTCGAGCAAGACCTCCTGGAGCACAGAACGCCACAGGAAAGGGGCTCCGGCAGACAGCAGGCATCAACTCCTTTGCAGGAAATCCCGAGAGCCGTGGGGTTGGTGATCCCAGAGGTTCGGGAAACCCCTCATTTTGTGAGTGCTGGGCAAGCAGGGCATGCAGATGACCCACATCTTACCTTCCAGGGGTGACCACTGGTGTGCAGGTTCCGCCCCCAGGACGCTGGCACAAGGAGCTAAGGCCCTGAGCCTGTGACAGCCAGTGGTGCCCCCTATAAGGTTCTCATGGGGGACAGGGAAGGAGAAGACCCCGGGGCCACACAAGAGCTGCTCTCCCAAGGCATCTTCCTCTCAATTCTCAAGGCTGAAAATGTCCCCGGGCTGGTGAGGCCTGGACATGTGGGGTGAACTCCGTCCAATCCGCGCCTCCCAGTCTCCTCCTGGCCTGCTGAACGGTGCCCTGAGGCCAGACACAGGCACCCCAACACATAGGAGGGGGTGCAGGCCACCCCCCACCCCGTGGAGCCTGCATGCCAGTGAGAAGACAGAAACAGGTTAGCCAAGTAGGATGCTCATCAGAGGCAAAGATGAGATGGGAGAGGTCGGTCATCTTCCTGGGCCACTGCAACAAATGACCACAAAACAACAGAGACACATCCTCTCCCAGCTCTGAGCGGGATGTCTGAGATCAAGGTGAAGGCAGTCTCTAGGGCAGGATCCTTCCCGCCTCTTCCAACTTCTCAGCATCCTTTTGACCCGCAGACACATGACTCCAACCTACATCTCCATCCACACCGGGCCCCTCCCTTCTGTCTGAGTGTCCAGCTCTCCTATTCTTACTGGATTCAGGGCCTAATCAGGTAGGCTCCTGTCTAAATCACACCTGCAAAGACCCATTTTTCAAATAGGGGTACATCAATGCAGCATTCAGCTCTCAGGGCGGGGCACAGCCGGCCTGGAAGCCCAGGGCGGGAAGGAAGCCTGGGAGCCCCCTAAAGGGCCGTCTGCTCTGGGCTGACCTGGCCCCGCACACCCAGGTCCCAGCCACAGGGTGGGAGAGTTCCAGAGACTCACCCCCACCAGCAGATGAGCAGAGGAAGAGGGCTGTGCGGTCAGCCCCGGGCCCTTCTCCCCACGCCAGTCACAGGACCCTCAAGCTGTTTCCTTTCAGCCACCGCCCTGGGCATGGACTCCAGTTTATTTCATGTGTCATCATCTAATCTCTGTTTTACAGCTGAGACAGCAGAGGCCCAGACAGGCCAAGCCATCTGCTCCTGGTCCCCTGTCCCCAGCCACACGCTCAGCCAGCCGGAGGCCAGACTCAGGTGGGAGGATGAACCATGAAGTGACCAAGCCGGGTTCTGAAAGAAGGTTTTAAAGGAAAGCAATCGCATGGGGATCGGGAACCCTCCGGGCCTGGGTCTCCCCACCTGCCAAGACCCTCCAGGACTCCCCCAACCGTTCACTGCTGCCTTCTGGGCCCTTGTGGTGTAGTACCCAAAATGGCCTCTGGAGGGCAGCACGTGCCCAACTTTCCCAAGAGCTGCCTGGAAGCAGTCTGTCCGCCCAGGTGGCTGCAGGGAGGACTCCGCCCACAGGGGTCAGCCATTAGCCCTCGCCCACTCCCCCCCCACCCAACACACACAGATGGGAGGAAGCCACAGGCAGTCCCTGAGTGTGCTGAGAGCGGGCTCTGCTATTGCCGCCGTGGGTTGGTGTGAAGCTGGGGTTTTGGGGTGGTGGGTGACACAGGGCAGGTAATGGAGCGGGGGAGGTGCGGGCCCTGCCTGGTGGACGGGCAGGTCAGTCCAAGCGCTGTCCCAGCACACCTCTCCCAACCCCCCGCACCTCCTGCAGCACCAGGGAGCCGGATTCCTGAAACTCCCTCTAAGGGGCTGTTGCAGCCTCTGCCCAGGGGACCCACCCTGAACAAGGCCTGGAAAGGTTGGGCTTGGAATCCAGACTGAGCTTGGTGCAGGCTAAAAAGGCCTGACTTTCCAGGCTTCGGCGACCTGATCTGTCAGGCGGGGATGATGCAAATGAATGCCGCGAAGGGCAACGGAGTGCTCTGAACACTCCAGGGTCGCCCTCTGACCGCCAAGAATCCAGAAGGTGGGGTCATTTCTGCAGCAGGGGAGGCCTTGGAAACCTTCGATTCCCCACAGAGCTGGTCAGCTTCCAGGAGGGCTTCCTGGAGGAGTGAGCAGCCCAGGCGGGCCAGTAAGAAGAAATTCAGGGTCGCACTGGCGGAAGCCGCGTAGCTCCGGCCTCACCCAGGCAGATGAAGCCCAGCCCGAGGGAGTGGGCGTGGGGGCGCGGCGTTGGGGGCGGTCCTGGAGCGGCGATGGCCTCTGGCAGGAGACTCCAGACTGGACTCAGAGGCGCGAGCCCGCTCGGCTGCGAGTCACGTGGGCTCCAGCCGGCCAGGTGGGGACAGTGACGCAGGCAGCGTGGCCAGGTACCTGGGGCGCACCCCGCCGGCCCCTCCCACCGCCGGCACTCGGAGCCGGAGCCGCCGGGCGCGCGCCCTGCTCCACCTGGCCACCCACCTGGCGGGGCCGGAGGGCCGCCGCCTCCCGCTGGGCCGCACAGGAAGTGTGGGGGCGGGGACAGGGAGGGACCGAGCGGCCGGACCGAGCGCGGGGCCGGGAACTGCCGCCCGCTGGGGCGCGGAGCCTGGAGGCTGGACAGGCTGACGCGCTCGTAGCTCCGTCCTCCGCCCTGCAGCGCAGGTAAGCCTGGGGGACAGGTGAGAGGGGGAAACAGTGAGCCTGGGAGACAGGTGAGCCGGGGAAGGGACGGGTGAGCGAGGTGGAGACGGGGGGTGAGCCTTGGGGAGGGGGCTGACCACTTTCCTCTCCTTCGCTTCTTCGGAAAGCCCCGCCCCAGGGGCCGCGACACTTTGCGGCTCCCTCCCTCCGCAGTGGCTGCCCAGCGAAGGCGGCGGGAGGGGACAAAGCCTGGCTGGACCTAGAGCCCCTGACCCCACTCCCGGGCTTCAAGCGTCCCAGCTGCCCGCTCCCTTTTCTCCTCCAAGCCCTAGGGGACACTCCTCACCGTAGAGGGGAACTCTGCAGCCCACTGGGGCATCAGGGCTGAGAGATCCGTAGGAAGCCCCTGGGACCTTTGAAAGCGGGTGGAGGGAGGGAGAAAACGACCCTCCCAACAACTCTGGAAAATCTGTTGCCCAAACCCACTTTGGTACCAAGTGTAGCAGCCCCAAGAATGAGGAACCCTCCCCACCCTGGTGGGCAGACGGAGGGGACCTGCTCATTCTTGGCTAAGGAGGGTGAGCTTAGGCTCCTGAAGCTGTGGGTACCACTGATTCCAAGACCCCTGTCCTAGCTGCCCAACCTCTGTTTCTGCATCCCGGAAACAAGGATCTGTTTTGAGATTCAACTGAACCTCAGCTCAGCAGGGACCACGTTGGTGGTGGGGGTAACTCTGCACCCAACCTGGGGCTAAACAGTCTGCACCTCTTGGTGTGGGGGCTCAGGGGGTGCTTGTCAGGCCAACCTGTCTACCCTGCACCCCCAGTGACTAGTGCTTGGATGTGAGGGCCCCGGGTCCAAATACTGGCTCAGTGTGACCTAAGTTACTTAAGCCCTCTGGCCTCAGTTTCCTGTCTGTGAAAGGGAAGCAGTTAGGTGCTGACTCAGCTGAAGCTGGCTCCTCTTTTGGTTGCTGCCCTGATGATGCCCACAGGCTGTAGAAGCTGGCATCACATCTTGAGCACTACCCAGGGTTTCCCCGGGTATTCCCTGGCACTTGCAGGGGGGAGTGGTAAGCTGGCAGAGGCCCCTCCCCCACCGTCTCTTACCTGGGCACCTAGGAGGGAGGAACGTGTGGGGAATGGGAGCATGCCAGTTCCCCAAGGGCTCTGATTCCCCGGGAGGTTAAGACGGCGGGGGGGGGGGGGGGGGGGGGAGATTGTCTCTGACCCTACACGGAGATTCTCTTCACCCACATGGGAGGAAACCAGGTGCAGAGGTGAGGTGGCGAGACGTGGCTTGCCCCTGAGACGCCTGTCTGTGCGTGACCCATTGGGCATGGCACTCCCCACGTCTGGGTCCTGGAATTTTAGTTTCAGTTTCTGAATGGATCTCAGCTGCTTGTCTCCTTTGCCTGAGCCAGTTGCCTTGCCCAAAGCCTCTGACCACCTGTATCAGCGTCTTTATTTCCAGGGAGAGTCGCTGCTCACCCAGGCGTCCCATTGGGGCAGCGAGGATCTAGGTCACGACGGGGCCTGGCTCCTCACCCAGCTCTCAGCTGACTGTCAGCCTGACCCCAGCAGGTCACATTCCCTCTGCACCTGGTTTCCTTGCCTGGCAGAGCAGGGAAATATCCACCTTCCAGAAGATCAGTGAGGGGCAAGACACACGGGTCGTGAAAGTGTTTGGAGGATGCCCAAAGTCATCTGTCAAGGCTGTCTGTCCAAGTCAGGGCTCTGATTTCTTATCCGGGGCTCCTCAGGGGAAACAGCATCTGCAAGCCTGGCACAGTGACCGGGTTTTCGGGGTGGCTGTATTGAGAGACAGGATGGGAGCCATTGGCCAGCTGAGCCAGGAGGGTGGTTTCTGTGATAACCTGCAATGCCCGGAGGTGTCATAGGTGCACGAGGCCCACCAACCCCCTCCGGCTACCAGGTAAGTGAGGCCAGGAGGGTCTCCCGACCCCCATGGAGGCGGGTGAATCTCCAGTTAGCTGAGACAAGGTTTCTCCGCCTCATCACTGCAGACAGTTTTTCCAGATGATTCCTTGTTGTAGGTGGTCCTGTGCCTTGTAGGGTATTGAGCAGCGTCCCTGGGGCGCTACCTGCAGGAGCCTCCAGCTGTCCCAGCCACCTTGCAGACAGAACTGTGTGCTGTGTGATTTATGAAGCCCAGTCCTGCCCCAGATTCCATGTGACTCCCAGTCTCCAGCCTGGCCAGGCAGAATTACCTGAGCACGAGGCCATCATGGTGGGTCAAGTTTACCTAAGCAAAGACAGGGTCATGTGAACGGTGCCAGGGAGGCCGAGCCCCCCCCGCAACCCCAGGCAGGGTCTCATCAGCCAGACCTAGAGGAACAGATGCCCCATGGATGGAGGTGCAGTGGTGACCTCACCCGAGGAGTGGAAGGTCCCATAATCAGTGCCGTGTGGATCCTGGTGACTGAGAGCTCGGTGATCAGAGCCCCAGGCCAGGCAGGAAGGCTGTGCTTCTTCAGGGCAGCTCATGGGATGGTGCTAAGCCTCCTGGGGTCCAAGAAGCCCATCTTTTGGGAAGAACGTAGGCTCCGGGGGTGCTGGGCTGCAAGGGCCCCTGGGCCAGGCCAGCCTGAAAGGCAGAGTCAGGTCAGGGCCAAGTGCAGCTTAGGACTGGACAGGCTGAGTCGGGTCACCTGAGGCTGCTGGAGATGTCCCCACCTCCACCTTCAGCACCCCAGCAGCCCTCCGACCGACCGAGCCCCATGTGCCCCTTACCCAGCTCTGCATGTGCACTGGGGACACAGGGAGGCTGTGAAGTGAAAGTATTAGTCACTCAGTCGTGTCCAACTCTTTGCAACCCCATGGACTGTAGCCTGCCAGGCTCCTCTGTCCATGGGATTCCCCAGGCAAGAATACTAGAGTGGGTTGCCATTTCCTTCTCCAGGGGATCTTCCCAACCCAGGTTTCGAACCCAGGTCTCCTGCATCGCAGGCAGATTCTTTACGGTCTGAGCCACCAGGGAAGGCCCTTACCCATCCACCCCTGCACATGTGCCGGGGACACTCAGAGGCTGCTTAAGTGGCACAGGGGAAGCTACTGCTATGGTTCCCAGGACCCAGCTGTGGGGGCCTCCCCAACCCCCCTCTGAGTTGAAGCCAGCAGAGCGTCACCCGGGGTGGGGGGGGGCACAGGTGCGTCTGGAGCCTCTGATGGTGCTGCCCTGGTGGATTCTGCTTGCTTGAAGCAAAGTACCAAGCAGGCTAGTTCTCCGCCCAGCTCACCAGGACCTCTTCAGGGAGACGGGATCCCAGGAGAGAAACAGGACAGGTGCCCACAATACTAGCATTCACGTGTCAGCTTGGGAATTGAGCCCAGCTGTTTGTGGGGATGTGGACAGGAAGTCATCCCTGCTCTGAAGGATGCACAGACTCCTCAGGGGGACAGAGGGACAGATGGACCACACACAGCCCTTGTCACCATGGACAATGGTTGGGGAGCTTTCCAGGGCTGCCTTTGCTGGGGAGCAGACTTGCCTCTGTGGCTTGAGTGGTCACTGCAGGATGTCTGGCCTCTCTCAGTGACATCATTGCCCAGAGAACATGGCGGGCATTGAGTCTGTGCTCTGGGCCCTCCCCTGTGCTGGTTGCAGGACACCAGGCAAAGGCCAGTATCCAGTGAGGATGATGAAAGAGAGGCTTTTGGAGCCAGTTGATTGGAGAAGTCCCCAGATACAGTCCCAGTATGGAATCCCAAAGAGCCTGCCAGGCAGAAGTGTGTGCTTGTGTATATGTGCTCCTGTGTGTGTGCCCACAGGGCACACAGGTCTCCCACCAGCACATGCCTGACTCCTGAATGGAAGCCAGTGGGGATGTTGAAACAGCATGTGGAATCCTTGAAACAAGAACAGACTTCTCTGCATCAAGAGCAGGAGAGAACTCTTGGTGGGACCATGAAAACAAACGTTTGGTGGAAGGCAGGAATCTCCCACAAAGGAGGACGAAAGGCAAAGGAGAGAAGAGGTCTGAAATGAGGAGAAGGTCTCAGCAACAGCTATTCCAGAAAGAGACCAAAGCATCAGAGGTGGGAGAAATGATCAAAAAAGTAGCACCAGAAAAGGTGCGGACCTAAAAGGACGCGTGAGCCCGTGGCTCCAAGAGTGAATGCGTATCCATGGCTGCGTCCATCCTTTGAGCAGTAAAGCAAGGGCCCCATACCCTCAGTGACCAGGGCTGGGGAACCTCCGGTCATGGCAAGGAGATGAGGTCAGACCAGCGTCGGTGTCTCATTGGCAGTGGAAGCTGGAAGCCAAGGGAAGAAGGCTTCTACATTCCTGAATAAAATCATCTCCAGTGGGACTCTCCAGGCACAAAGACGACATTTTCAAAGGTCTCCTCCCATGACCCTGCCTTGGGAAGGTGCCAGGGGGTGGGCCATAGCTCAGTGGGGAGGGAGGGAGGAAAGGGGAGGACCAGGCTGCAGGGTGGGGGCCAGGGTGCCAGCTCCTGCCCTGAAAGCAGGCAAGGGACAGCCTAACAAGGGAGGTCTGATGCCTGGACCCTGTGAGCACACCATCCAGATGCCTGGGGCAGGGGCACTGGAATGCAGGGGAAAATTAACAGGAGGAAAACCAGCCAGTAAACAAGAGGGAATTATTAATGGGAGGGAGGCTGGGCGGGCCGGGCTAAGACAAACACCCACAGGGTATGGCCGAGCTGGGCTGGAGCCTCGTCCACTGGGCTGGAGACAGTGGGTGATGCCCGCAGGTAGGAGATGGAGTAACCTAGCTGAGCTTTGTCTGAAATCGGGAGAAAGCTGAGAATCTGAGAATGGTGCTTTGTGGCAGGCAGGGTAGGGGTGGGGCATGAGGAGAGGACGCCCGTCTAGGAGGATCAGCCTCTGGGTGCTGTTGGACTTTTGAACCTACGCCCAGGTACCTCTGATCAGCTCAACCCGGGGAGGAAGAAGATAGGCCCTGTGATGGCTGCAGCCCCAGGAGCCAGCTCCAGCCGGGCCCAGGCTCTGGGGCTCGTGCAGGGCAGGGATAGCAGCCCACACGCCTGGCACAGTGCCCCCCTCCTTCAGGCCTGGGTTCCGGGCCAGTGGCACCCCAGGCCTGTGGGTGCGGCCACCATGATTGGAACCCAGGTCACACCCAGCAGGGGCTGGTCTGACTGGCTCCATCTGGTACCTTCCAGCTCCAGAAGAGACTTTGTCCTCTCCTGGGAGAGGCCGTGCCACTGGCCAGGTCTGGGCTGGGGCTTCAAGGAGGGGTCAGGCTTGGAGCCCGAGATGGGGAGGAGTCGGGGAAGAAGGAAGAATGAGGGGCAGGGCGGGGGGTCCATGGGCACCGCAGTGTTGGTGCAGGCCTCTCAGTGCCCACAGCGAGTTTTTATAACAGTGTAGCTGCCCTGCAATAAATACACCATGGCTAGAAAAAAGGACTCGGGGTCTCTCCCGGACACCCACTTGGGTGCATCTGCTTCGTGTGTGTGTGTGTACACATGTTCACATGCATGTGTGCTCAGTTATGTCCGACTCTGTGATCCCACAGACTGTAGCCTGCCTGGCTCCTCTGTCCATGGAATTTTCTAGGCAAGAATACTGGCGTGTGTTGCCATTTCCTAGTCTAATCTGCTTCATGTGCATAGATGGAAACCTGCCGGAAACCCGTTTCTCAACCCGTCCTGGGTACTGTGCAGCCAGGTTAACAGGGGAGGCGGACGGGGGGAGGTATGGACCCGCCCACAGCTGCCGGGCCTTCGGAGGCCTAGGGTGGCTGCCCTCCTCAGCCTGGTGACTCAGAATGTCCCCAGGAATGCGTGGGCCGTCGCCCTGCTGTGGGGGTGGCCAGGGCTCCAGGGCCAGCCGCTCCCTGCGGGCACGGAAGCCTGAGCCGCACACGCCTTCCTGGGATGGTTTTAGTGGAGAACCTGTGAGCCAGGGCAGAGAGCGGGGTGGAGAGCCAGGCCTCCAAGGGCGGGGGTCCAGTCGTTCCAGCTGCCCCTGTAGGTGAGAGAGGGCAGGACGCGCTCTCCCTCCCTCCCACAGAGATGCTGGGTGAACCCCAGGGTCCTCCCCAGACCTGCAGGGAAAGTGGCATGGGGCACTGTGGTGAAGCTCTGAGCCAAGGCTCCCTGCCAACAGGGCCACCTGGGCCGGTGACCTGGAGCCTTAGTTCTCCATCTGAAACACAGGCTCCCACCCTTGACTGGCCTTTGTAACTTGAACGTTCAGAAGTTCTACATACATTAATATGAGAAGCGGATGAATGGTGGCTATCTTTGTTTCCCTTAAAAGTAAACAGGAAAGAATGAAAGGAGCACGTTCCCTCCCTGTTACCTTCTGATCCTGTGAGGTTCTAAACCACCAGCTGATCCTCTTGAGGCTCATAGGCGACCTTCTCTTCAGCACTAGTGACCCCCTGCCCCTAGCTGCTTGGTGGCCAGGCCCCTATTCAAGCACTACATGTACAAGCTCCCTGCCCCTCCCAGCAACCTCAGGAATTGTGGGGTGGGGGGTGATTACTATTGGGCCCACTTTGTAGATTTTGAAACTGAGGCATAGGGAGCAACAGAAGGAAGTGACTGGCAATGGGAGAGAAGATCCTCAGGGTGGATTGGTCAGCGGCCTGAGGCTGGTGCCCAAGAGGCCCAGGGTGTGGCAGATGGCGTGGACCATCCACACTGGCTAAATGATGTGCTCCCAGCCAGGGTGAGCCAGTCTGTGCTGCAGCAGCAAGTAGCTCCATCAAGTGCTTAGAAACACGGTCTGTGGGGCCCTGCTCACCCCAGGCCCATGGGGCTCCATCCCCACGAACATGCCCGCCGTCCTCTCTGCAGGGGAAGGCATGGCGGGATTCTTGTGGCGGTTTCTGAAGCTTCTGCCAGGAGGGACATACATCCTTCTGCTCAGGCCTGGCCATGCTGGGAGGAGGGAAGCGGGTGTACTGGTGGACAGACGGGACAGAGGGCTGCCTGTTGGTGAGGGGCGGTGGCTGCCAGGCCAGCCAAGGGCTGGAGGATGCGGGTGGGTGAGGACAGAGAGGATGAAAGGGCCAAGGTGAGGCAGGCTGCTGGGAGGGACAGGCTGGACCATCCGAGGGGATGCGGGCAGAGCCAGCTGTCCTTGGAGACACCCAACACAGGCCACAGCAGTGCCCAGGGAGCAGCAGTGTGTGCTGGGGCTGCGGGCTTGGGATCAGAGCTCTGCAAATGTCCCCTCCCTTCTGGGTTCCCGTGCACACCGTGACTGCCTGGCAAGACTCTGGAGATGGATTGTCGGCCCTGTTCTAAGTTCAGAAGCCTGGGAAAGGGCGAGTGTGTCTTGAGGCCCAGGGTAACGCTGTGTAGACAACGGCCACAGTGGCTTCGCTGTGTGTAGGGCTGAGTCGGGGAAAGGCCGTGTAGACAACGGCCATGGCGGTATTGCTGCATGTGGGGCTGAGATGGGGAAAGGCTGTGTAGACAACGGACACAGTGGCTTTGCTGTGCATGGGGCTGAGAGTCAGGGAAAGGCTGTATAAATGGTGGCCACAATGATCTTGCTGTGTATGGGGCTGAGATTTGGGGGAAAGGCCGTGTAAACAACAAACACGGTGGCTTCTCTGGGTGTGGGGCTGAGAGTTCGGGAAATGCCATGTAGATGACAGCCACAGTGGCTTCACTGTGTGTGGGGTGGAGAGTCAGGGCAGTCAGACAGGCCTGAGTTCAGATCCTGGATCTGTCGCTTCCTGCCCTGTGTCCCGGGTGGGACTGGCCCCGGCCTCTCTGCCCAGTGAGAATGGAGACATGGTGCCCCTCGGGCTGAATGAGACATCACACCTACACCGGCCCCTCAGAGCCTGGCCTCGAGTACCCCAGGGGGTGCAGCCGCGCTGTCTGCTGCAGGCCTCGGAAAAGCCCAGCAGGCAGAACTGTTGATCATTCTCTTGTTGGCTGTGGGAAATGGTGCCAGGAGGCCAAGTGGCTCTTCCAGTCCAGATCTTTGGGGTCCCAGGCCACACACCTGCACTGCCGCAAGCTTACCCCACAGCAGAGGGAGCACAGAGGCATCGCCAGGCCAGCCTCTCTGCAGTCTGTGTCTGCCTGGTCCCCAAAGCTCAGACAGCCTGTCGTCCACCTGGGTCCCTGAAGGTCTGTGCTGTACCAAGCTCCCCCCAAGTGCCTCTGGCCAGCTGTGTACTGACTTCCCTAGGGACTCCCGGAGACTGTGGGCAATGTAACAGCCAGCTCGGCTTCAGGTGGCACGACCAGCCTTTGAGCACCGGATCCTGGTTGACTGTACCCCGGGCTCCGGCTGGATCAGGGCTGCCCTCACCTCCATCCTTTCCCCCAGGGTCCCGCGGCCATTCAGCATGTCCCAGCGGTACTCGGACAGCTCCGTGGAGGAGAAGCTCCTGGAATACCGCTTCCACTCGGAGCTGCGGCTAGATGCCAAGGGGAACCCAGCATCTGGGCTCCCAGTGGTCCGCGGCTCCCTGCACAGCAGGAGCAATGCCGCCTTCCAGCCAGACACCCCAGCGCCCCCGGAGCTGGCCCCCGAGTCCCAGGAGCCCAGGACCGTCATCCTGAGCACGCAGAGCCCAGCAGCCCTGAAGATGGGCACACAGCAGCTCATACCTCGGAGCCTGGCCGTGTCCAGCAAGGCTAAGACCCCGGCCCGCCACCAGAGCTTCGGGGCAGCCATGCTCAGCAAGGAGGCTGCCCGGCGGAACCCCCAGCTCCTTTCGGCCCCCAGCTTCTCCCTGGATGACATGGACTTGAACACGGGTCCTGGGGGGATGCTGAAACGAAACCTGAGGAACCAGTCCTACCGGGCAGCCATGAAGGGCCTGGGGACTCCAGGCGGCGAAGGGGGCCCTGTCCAGCTCACCCCCAAGCTCCAGGCTCTGGCTGAGGAGCCTAGCCAGCCTCCTGCTCGACCTGCAGCCAAAAATAAGGTAGGAGCCCTGTCTCTCTGGTCAGTGGTTAGGGGAAGGTGGGAGGGGTTCTGACCACACCTTCACATCATCATGCAAGTGCCCACTTGCACAGGCTCCTGGGGGGCTTCATTCCTGTTAGCCCAATAGCCGCTCTGTGAACAGAGCGTGAATGTCCCCATTTTATAGATGAGGCAGCGGAGGCTTCAGTTAGGAAGTTGAAGGCATCCCGGCTCTCAGCCACAGCGGGGAGCAGTGCGTGAGGCGGGCGCTCTGAGCCCCAGGAGGGAGCTAGCCTGTCTGGAGGACAGGTTTCAGTGGTGGCTTTGCT